GCAAGCATTGAAGTTGTTCCAGGCCATGCCTATAGTGAAAGTCCAGCCAGACAGGATCAGCTACAATGCTGCCATCGGTGCATGTAAGAAGGGCGAGCAATGGCAGCAAACATTGAACTTGTTTGAAGCCATGCCTACAGCGAAAGTTCAGCCCGACGTGATCAGCTACAGTGTTGCCATCAGTGCTGCAATGGCAGCAAGCATTGAAGTTGTTTGAAGCCATGTCCGAGACAGATGTGCTACCAGACCTGGTAAGTTACAATGCTTATTACTTGATGTTTATGAAATTCAGAACAGTGCCAGCCATGTTGAGAGGTGGAACTTACCAGAATGAAAGGGATGCGGCGCTTCAAAGATCCACCTTCATGCCCTCTCGGAGGGAACTGCCCGTGTTGCGGTGTCACTGGCTCTCCGCTGCAGTGGCCACAAAGCTGGAGCAGGACAAGAGTTGACGTGCCTGATCGTCGGGTATGGGAAGTCTGGGGACACCGTGCGCGAACCCGGCGAGCTTGGATCTCTTGCAAGGCAATCTCGGACTTCAAGCGGTGTTGCCCAAGAACCCTTGGGGGGAGGCAGACTTGCCAGCCCTGCGTCGTGCTAGAGCCAGCTTTTATATGTTCTCTTGTTCAACAGGCATGTGCTCTATCACCAGGAGTACCGGAATCAGAAGTAGCCCACCTACTTTGACAGACTTCAAGTCAAGAGTCAAAAGTTGAATCCAGTTTCAGGCAACTTATAACATCTTATAGCAAACAAAACTCTGAACATCCAATCTGGAGTGTTGCTTAAGCTCTGGGAAGGCACAAAAGGCAGCGCATCTCATGAACTTCAATGCAGCAAAGACGTGACGTCTTCGTCGTCCAGTTGACGTCGGGAGCCGACGAGCCGCTTTCTCTTTTGAGGTGCCTTCGACATGGCCTTTGTGAGCCATGATGTCCCAACGCTTCTTTTTTTAACATATGTTTACCTCCTGAGTTGGGTCGCACGTTTTGCCTTTTTCTTAATGGAACGCTGGTCGCACGTTTTTCAATGGTGACTGTTTCCTTCAGAAAGAGTTCCGTTTCTCCAAGCGAAACAGGAGGAGTACTGAATTTATTTGTCGTGTCAAATAAATATAGCTATTACACTCTTGGTATAACAATGCCAGTCTAGTGAAAGTCCATTCACGATTTAGGGCCCGTAAGGTTTCCTTTTTAGAACAATGCCTGCTTGTTTGAACCACGCCAGGATACGTGTGTTCTTCCACCTCGGTATTGCAATATTTGGGATGGTCTTCCGCAGTCTTCTGGGGGATCTTAGAAGATAAGTATGCAGAAAGGGTGTTGAATCCTTGAAGTTGAACCATGCTTCCACATGACCTGGTGATACCCTCGACCCCAAGAAGGCCACACGGAATCCAGAACATGCACCTGGGACTCTTTCAGCAAATCCCGCAACCAGTTCCACCCGAATCCATCCGCGGATGCGACCAGGCCGCCAGGGAGCGCCACACAGCAGCCACCGCGCTGAATGACCGGTCCAGTCGATCACATGCCGTGTTCCAGCGACTGGGATGCCATGAATGGACACATCCGGAAAGACTCGGACCAAGCGATGGCCTCCAGCCTAGTAGCTTCTTGTTACTAGTAGCGATGGCCTCCAAGCTACAATGGCCTCCACCAGCCGTGGTTGAACAGCCATATCGCTCAACCAGCCATTTCCAGATCGCACCAGTTGTCGCGCTAGATCGGGAATGGCCGATTTGAGCCGATTTGTGCCTCGGGGATGTCCTCGCCGCGCACCAGTTCCGTTGGAGTTCGGAGGAATCGTTCAGACGTCTTGAGCGTCACGGTGGAGAGGCCTCAGGATAGTCATGTCAAGGTTTTGGACTTGGAGGGCGCCTCGGGCCACTACGTTCAACTATAGATGACTTCTCAGTTTCAGCTAGATACTGCCCTGTGTGTTTCTTGAGGGTGGACTTGTTTGGTGGTTGCATTGAAAGAATGAAATACACACAAAGAGGAAGGTGAAGATGAAGAAGCAAGAACAAAGAAGATAATAGTACAGGGAGACCACAAGAAAGAGAAGCGGCTTGGGATCAACGTCAGATCACTAAACCAAATGAACATGCTTGTAAGCCTGGCAATGTGCACATTTACTTGTTTGCCCCAATCGCGGTGGCTGAAAACGGCGGCCAGGCCCCTGGCTTAAAACCACGCTGTCCTACTAAAGTTCATGATGTGGATTCGGGGCTTTGTTTGGACATGATCTGAACTTTGTTCGAAGGCCAACCCCATAAATGCAACTCTCCAACATAGAAGCCTATGCAGGTTTGCATGATTTTCAACCCAAACCATATGCGAGGGCTGTAGGTCCTCAAACTCAACCCCTAGAGTGGCGAGCCTCGCAAACCTCTACGAGAAACCAGGGCTCGCATTTTGAACATTTCATCAATCCGCACTGAGGCTTTCTCTGGAGGGTCATAGCCAGGCCGGAGTGACGGATGTTGCTTGGATATCTGTCGGGAAGCATCCAGATCCCAAAGGAAGGCCCACTGAAGAAGCTTCGAAAGTTGGAGATGTTTGCGTGGGTGGCTGCCGCCCCGGCCCCAGAAGAGAGTGTGTATCAGTCGGAACTGGTGATCATGTTCCACTTGCAAGGATGCTCTCTCCCTCTCTCTCTCTCTCGCTCTCGCTCTCTCTCTTTTTCGCTTTCTTGAAGTCTTTTATCACAGCTCGACCAGGATACAGCATCTCCCTTTCTTAAATAGCATGATATTAAATTGGGTTTCTATCACTCTAGAAGAGAACGGATTTGCTAACGCAAGCATCATGGATCTCGCATGAGGATTTTTGTGCGCTTTTTGTCCTTTTTGATCTTGTTTGGATGCTGAAGAGTGCCTCCGGCAACTGCTCTCTAGTGACACCGGCGACTTGCCAAGCCAGTTCCACAAGATTCTGGGTCCAAATGCTCTCAACATTGCCAAGAAGTGCAGCCTATAGATTGTGGAGCACTCAATCACATATTCAGTCCTGATTGCCGGACTTACACGAAGCCAGACAGCGCATCATGACCTTCAGAAATCCACAGAACTGGCAGATGCTTAGCCCTTCTCCCACTCTCGACGTACTCAACCCGCAAACCCATCCAAACCCACCATTTCCAGCATTTTGAGCACCTCACCCACACCTCACCCGCTCACCCACACCTCTGTTTTGCCTCTTTCCAGCACCCCTTCACCTCCACCCCGCCAGGCTTCCCTTCCTTCGCGCTCGGGCCTGCTGTCGCTGGTGGACCTGGCGGGCTCTGAGCGGGTCATGCAGTCCCAGGTCACCGGCGAGCACCTCAAGGAGGCCACGGTCCCGACCGCCACGCGTGAGGGCGAGGCGTCGAAGGACGGCGTCGTTCGGGGGTCCAAAACCGCTCCGTCTCCCGTGGTAGGTTGACCTGGTCTATTCATGTCTCATGGGGTGGGCAACCAGGGTCGCATACGGTGTTTTTTTTCGGTGTTTTTGGTGGTCTTCAGCAGCGCGAGTCTGCTGCGTTCGGTGTGTGCACATGTGATTCCTTTGGACGAGTCTGTGTTTGAGCGTGTGGGGGGGGGCCGGTGTTCTTTAGCGCTCGACCCGTGAACATCGCAAGGAGACGACATGTCGACGCGCTAGAGTTCTTGGTTGCATTGCCTAGTATCGATGAACCTTCCAGATCTTGGAATCGAACCACCTGGCATACAACGCACTCAAACGCACTCCGCATTTTAGAATTCCAGCTGATGCTGGAATCTTCATGAGGATAGCCTATGACCTCTCCCCTTCAATTCCAACCTACACAGACCGTCTGTCATCAACCTTTCCCGGAGACCTCGCGTATATACGCGCGGGTCGCTGGTCCCAAACCGCGGTAACCGGAGGCGCAATACATCAATCGCTCTCTCTCGGCCCCTCGGACGCGAAAGCGCCGGAGGAGGTTTCTGCGGTGGGAAAGCCCGAGTGTTCGGACGGTTCTACGGAGAAGAAAAGACCATTGCGATGCAGACAGTCAAAAGCCAACTCAGCCAAAGACCAGGATGGCCAAAAGATGCAACAACGTGTCTCTTTTGAATGTGTTTGACGTTTTCTTCCTGTGATGGCCATCACATGTGATAGCCCAGTGGTTGGTCGTTTAGCAGGTCATCAGAGCCTATAGACCCAACAGGGATCCGTTTGGTCCTGAGTACCAGCGAGCGCAGTGGTTGGTCGTTTGTGGGATTCCTATGTTTTGAGCCAATCTGTACTGGCGTGTGCAAAGTATAGGTCATCATTTCTAATTAACAGCGAGTTGGACTGGAGGCCTGGCACGTTTCATTGCGAATTGCCCTTGACATCAGCCTCGACAAAATAAAAGAGAAACCAATGCGCATTGCCATGTTTTGCCCATTTTGGACCTCTTGGACTGGGGCCGTGGGGCGAAGCTCCTCCCACGGTGTGAGGCCCTAGGTGACGTGATTGAAGCGCTGAAGCGGAAGAAGCCAGGAGGTGCATGCACCGTGGGCGGGCCCTGCGAGGCATACGAGCCACACGAACCTGTTAAGCGAGAGGAGAGAGAGAGAGGGAGAGACTGAAGATCGCCTCATTCGATGCATTTTGGCCCAGAGCCAGGCTTTGCGGGCTTGAGCAATGGAGATTGCAACACTCGCAGGTTCCCTTGTCACCCAGCTTGACAAGGCTTTTGAAGGTTGAACTAGATGACATGCACATGCATCTCGTGTAGGGACATGTTTTTTGCTTGAGACATTGTGCTTCATTTGGTTGGTTAGACTAGACGTGACTATTTACATCTATTTGCCCCCCACTGATTTGGGGATTATACGAAGATTGTTGGTTGTCGAAAGCTGTACTGCTACCTATCAACTTGTCAAGCTGATCTTATTTTTCCAGTCCATGGATACAGCCTGCTGCCCGTTCGCGCCTGGCTGCGCCTGGCAGACCCAACCCACCTCGCCCTGCGGATGACATGAGTGTTGTCGAAGGTTTGGCCCGTCCATGGAGGCGTCGGAGTTGGCATCCCAGGTGGCGGTGTCAATGGGTCGAATGGTGGCCGCTATGATCAAAGACTTTTGGGAACTCTTGGATCCATTTGCCACTGCCATCAACGATGCTGGACCGGAAAGAGGTGGAGCGATGCGCGATGCGTCATTCAGTCATTCCACGACAGAATAGCGACAGATCTATCGATATAGATGTTGTGGGGTGATTCGCATACAAAACGACAATTGGAATAGGGCATATATCCCTTGCAGAAGTCGCCTTGCTGCTTGGAATCCTGGTTTTCAGCGAAAAAGCAAAGCTGCCATGAGGCATGGATGAACAAAAAACTAGTCACGGTGTCGGTGCCAGGGATGGATTCGATCATGCCTCTAGAAGCCACCTTTTGATCGGACGAGGCAATGTGTTGAATGACGATTTGGTCACTCCAAAAGTGTCGGTCTCACCGAGGTTCTGGGTAAATACAGCAAACATTGATAACAACACAGCATAATGTTTTTTTGCAAGTGAAGCCCCGTCAATTTTGATAGGATCTTGACCACCAACGAGAAGTTTAGAAAATATGTTCAACGAATTTCTTGAGAAGTTATATACCTTCTTGAAGACTTAGCGCTGCTGATTTTTTGAGCACTGCTGCCACAATGGTGGAATATTTTGTTTCCAGGAAGGCTACCACACAGCTACCAAATTCCAACGTCCAGTTGACCTGGAAGGCCAATCTTTTGGACATATGATATGTCCATCTAAATCCCAGGGAACCTTAGTCATGAGCATGAGGCTTAAGGAGTGAAGTTTCAAGGGCTCTTGTGTATGTACCATCTCAGGAGAAAGTGCTCTTGTTCATCGTGTGGGACCTCATGAATGCTGCCTTTCACTTGCTGGAGGCTGCCTATGATGCCACAATTCATGTTCTGCGTACAAATGAGACATTTGGCTGCAGAACCCCAGTGATCCTGGAGTGATTCTGCCATTGGACAAGCCCGTTGGGGTTGTTGGAATCAAGTCCTTCTGGAAACCACTGGGATGTGGGACTCTATCCGCACCGAAAGCCTACGGCGTGAACACTATCAGCGTAATGTTTACCAGACTTCACCAGGCTTCCTCTTTAGACAAGAGACATCTCAGAGTGATCATGAGTGATCCGTCGCTCGTCAAATTAGTGAAACCGTTTGAACATGTGTGAACCAATTGTTTTTCTTATTCTCCAATTGAAACATATTGAAACAACCACGGGCGGTTTTTGATCAGCGCAAAGAAGATCTCAATTTAGAGAGGAACATCTCCCCCGAACTGATGACTGCTGGCCTCCATGTTGTTTTTTTTTGGTGAGCTGGTTGTTTAGAATCTAGAGATGTCTAGAGTCTAGAGCGAAAGCGCACTTTCACTGCCAGAACCAGTCTCACACTGCCAGTACTGTTGCTACCGTTGCTGCCAATTATTTGTTTTGTTTTTTTGTGTGACCTTCATGGAGGGACAAGGGCAAGACAAGAAATGCTTTGATGATATACAGTTCAATCCAAGTCTTAGTGTTTGTGCGGAATCTCCGTGTTTGTAATCTGTAATATCATGCTGTACTGGTATTGAGTGTGTGTGTGTGTGTATCATATTACCCATCAAATACCCGTTGACTGATGGTCTATGAAATGAGGATCCTTTGCGCTTACAAAATGCTCGCTCTAACGTGCATATCATAAACCATCAGTTTGGGATCTTTGCAAATCTACAAGTTGAGGTTAATGTGAAGGTTGGCTCCACATCTTGTATAAATCAGAGGGTTTCAGAGATTGGGTGTCAAACCAAATGTGATGTCAGGGAAGGCATTATGTATAAGGGCTGGATGCCCAGGAAAGTCATTAACTGAATGCTGCACAAGGCATTTTGTATAAACATGGTGGTTGGAGATGGTGTCTTTCAACTTTGGTTACGTGATGCTGTACTATGCAAATTGTGTGAGCAGGCCTTTTTCCTCCAAATCTGAACATTTCTACTGTGTAATGTATTGGTACTATATAAAAACGATGGATCTCTAAACCAAAACATGTTATAGTGACAATATCCTTTACACTCATATCGTAGATCCTGTGTGTTTACAGAGTGAAAATCCACAGACGCATAGGACAATCAAGGAGTATCCCATCAATGATCCGCGCTTCGCCAACCTTCTGTTCTTCGTGCAAACAGTTGCCTACCAATCTGTTCTTCTGATGGTCTGTACTCGAAGCAGATAAGGATTGGAAGAAGTGCTACATCCAGAAGTCGCTGGTATTCAGTGCGCTTCAACATCCATTTTCTTCCATTTTTTTGCAAGTCTCCACGTGGGATTTGGACGTGTTACTGTCTCCCAAGTGAGGGCGAAGCTTCAATTCAAGGGGGGGTGATGTTCTACCCCAAAGCGGCCATGTGGTGCCTTCGCTGTGTGGTTTCGGGCAGGTGCAGACCTGCCGGTACCATCTGGGGAAGACGAGAAGGGGTCGGGTCGGGTCGGTCTGTGACAAACCTATGAATGGAAGAGAGCCATCTAGGGGTGCCCATTATCCACTCACTTAGGGACTAAACACCACCCCTTTGTGACTACTGGTAGGTGGCTTCACAAATGTGAATGGTTTTGTTCCATTCATGAATGGATCATAGATGTGACATCGGAATCGACATCGTGATTGAAGTTCATAGAGATTTCTTCGGTTTCACCATTGATCAGCAGATATCCGGACGAGAAGGTAACCGTTCGTCCCACGACGTTGGGACACTGTTCAACGACTTTGGGCACTGTTCAATCGATCCACTATGAGATACAGCTCAAAACTTAGCAGTAGCACCAAACTTTAACGTCTTTTGCAGGAGTAGCTCAATCAACGCACTGACACAAATCCGAAGCTCGCTTCCAAAGGTTCAGACCACTGTTCACAACCAACCACCACAATTGTTTGTCCAAGCCAGACTTAGACCAGCACTGGCAGCTTAGGCCATCACTTGACTGCGTCGCACGATCGCTTAGCGGATGGCTTGTGGCTCTTCTTGGACATCTACGATCGCATGGCTGCTGCGATTGGCGTCGGGACTCACGGCTTGGGCGTAGCTTGGACTAGGAAAAAAACACATGAAAAAGCCAACATGCGATGAGCCGACTCAGTCGCATATGAAAGTACACAGTACACAGACCAGACGAATGGGACTGGAATATACATTGACACCTTTTAGGCCATATGGATGGTCTGGGGATGGGGGTATGGTCCAGTTCATTTCTATACGTCGCCCTTTGAAATGCCAATGAACATGAATAAGGAAGTATATGAGAAACCCGGGACCCTTGCTGTATACCTGACACCAAGGACTCAAACCCTTTGAGGCGTTTTCTCCAAGATGTGCCTGAGACTTGGCGGCGGCTAGATGCGAGACTTGGGTGGACAAAAACAGGGTCAAAAAGGGTCACCACGTCTGCCACAGGTGAAAACTGCATCGTTTGGGCACGTCTGGTGTCTGGGAAGTTCGGTCACCATGCACTTGTGAGGCTCAGGAGGAACGCAGTTGATCAGAGGTTTGACATGCTGCAGACAATTGTGGCTGCTGATGCAACACCCGTACAAGTATGTTGGAAGTTTCTGCCAAAAACGAAAACGATGTGGACAAGATGTCGATTTTTCAAGCAGTGGAGAAGAGGTCGATTTTCGGGGATGAATTGAAAAGCTTGGTTTGACTGGAGGATTTTTCTTTTGGGTTTCTTTGGGGCGCCAAGAGCTGGAGAAAGGAAGCTGCTACGGCAGATGGATGTTCTCTGCCCGCTTGGCAAGTAAAATCAGCTAGCATGAGTTTCAACAAATCTCATTCTTTGGGCCATCTACGGAATCCGGATTTCAAGCTCAAAGAACAGGGCAGTAAAGTAGCTTCCCTGAAAGCTTCACGCGCTGAAACACGGATCCATTGGCTGCATGGATATATATATATATATCTACTTCGCGTCCAGCGCGCGCGCGGGATGGGCTGCCAAGGATGGCCGCGTGTTGGCAACAGTGGAAGATTGGATGCCGGACATAAAGACGAGCAACCTGGTGCCACATGAAGACGCCATGGAGCGGAGCTGTTGATGTCTTTCATGTGGGGTCCAGGAGAGGGCCAGAAGAATCCAGAAGATGGGGTAGGAGAGAGGGCCAGGGTTCAGTTCCTCAGTTCTTATTGCTCAGTGTTGGCACCAGCGAGTCACAGACTGAAACACGGCAGAACATGATGGAGCACAGACTGCGCTCGTCGATTGGTCGGGAGCACAGACTGGGAGCACTGAACATGAAGTATATATGCAGTGTAAGGTGTTAGGGGAGCTGCTCCTGTCACAGTTGCACCGAAATCCGACATTTTACGACCAGTCGCACCACTGTCCAAGAGAACAGGGGTTGACTAAAGTATTATGGAGGCTCTTCACTCAACGACCAGCGTCCAGAACCTCCTTCACTTCAAGGATGGATGGAAGGACGGACAGACAAATCATCGGATCTTCCCCCGAGGCACGGACCATGCGGTGGCCTGGTGCGAGATGTTGCTGGGAGCCCTACAGCGGATCCATGGCAACGTCTCCTCTGCGCCGCTCGGCTCCGGGAGCTGAAGAGCGACCACGCGGCCACACCGGTTAGACTTGAAACGAATGAGAGTGCTTTGAAAGACAAAGGGATACCTCTAGGTGTTCTTGGCAGCATGATGTTTGTGTGTATAGTTATGTTCCGGCTAGCTATGCTGATGTAAAAGACTGCTGTATCAAGAGGTGCTTAGTGAACCTGCCCTTTACAAGTGCTTATGCATAGATGCTCATAGTAGGAGTGTATATGAGCCACGATCAAAATATGCAAATGCCACTTTAGTAAAAGAGGGGTAGGTGTGCACAAACCTGTAAAACGATACGGTCCACCTCAAAACCGATATCCCCAGCTTATGATCATTAGTATGTGGCGAACTCACAACTAAAACGATAAGGTCCAACTCAAAGCATATATAAAATATCATGTATGTATTATGTATGTCAATGTGTATTTGTTTTAATGTGTTTGTTGAAGAATAAAAATAGGTGTTGACCGTCGCTCATATGTATAGTGATTAACAGGGTTGCTCTGTGATTCGGACAACTCTTTGAACCCGAGTGAGTACGATTGTCTTTGCTCAGCTTCCTGGGCTTCCCCAGCTTGACAGCTGAAATGCAAAGATTTTTTTCTGGAATAAAAGACAAGACATTGGGAAGAAAAGCCTCATGTATTGCTTTTCGTTGGGTTGAGGAGTGGAGCCAATTACCCATGCAGGTGCCACCAAGGTGAATGTCCAGTACCAGCGTAGTGGGAAAAAACACACACACACATGCACGGCCCGTTTCGGAAAAGCCGGCAGAGGTACCAACAGGTTGCATGATATTGCATGATAACTTGTTCTGAAGTCGAGGATTTGAAACACAGACTGTGAGCACAGCCTTGACTTGAGCAGCAAGCCCATAGGGGATATAGCAAAGAGTGTTTTTCATAGTGGAACAACACCCAGCGCTTTCAAGAACCGGGTCAAAAGCCAGATGCATTGGCCTCACTTCATGTGTGTTTTACATCCTATCCGATTCTTATGCTTGAAGACTTTAACTGCAGTACCATCTCCTTTTGCCATTGGATGCTGAGGCTCCAGCTGTCCTCCGGTGTCTTGATCGGCTACCGGAGTTTGCCTCAGCTGGAGCAATCCTTCGACGTCCCTTCTCATCTCGCATACTTGGATGCCTGGCAGATGTCGGTGGTGCTGGTAAATCCACACAGGTGGGAGATGGTGGAAGGTCAAATTGATGAGGTCCCAAAAGGGCATTGAATAAGGGTCCTTGACTATCCATATATATATATATGTATAGTATCATAAAAACATATATATATATATATACATACGTAGTATCATATAGTACCATGTAGTATATTATAGTATCAACAAAAACAGTTCTGTTCATATGGGCAGTCTGTCATTCGAGACGGTCCTATACCGCCACACGGTCCTTGGACCACGCACGAGCGAATTTCCGGTGAGAGGGTGCAGAAGCGGGCAACTCCAACTGCTCATAAGAAGGTACATGCAGCTAACTCATACTAACTCCAGCAATAGTTATATAGTAATATAGCTGTATAGTAATAGTATGGACTTGCATAGCAACTAACTCATACTAACTCCATCTCTCAAAATAAAGGTAAGTTTATAGGCCATGGATATAACTCCATCAAATATGAAGAAGACAGATATAGAATGAAGTACATTGATAGATAGTGGATTAGTAACATGTCTTCATCGGGGAAGGTTCCAGTGAGACTCACCGCCCGGCCGTGTAGCCTCGGAGGTTTGTGGGGCTTTTTGGAGGGTGACAAAGAAGACATGGGATGCTCATTGAGGTGAGCCATGGGACATGTGGCTTTTTCGTTCTGGACCAAATGACAAACCCAATAGAGCTGGGGAACGATCAGTCTTGGAGTCTCAAAAGGAAGTGGCATCGAGAATCGAGATCCCTCAGATACAACGGTGCCAGATGATTTGTTTCAAGCCTTTGGAGGAGTTTCATCTCACATATTTGCGGTTGCAGAAGCTCTTAAAGGAGGTGTCCCATCCCCTAAATTCTATTAAGTGTTCCCGCACACAAAAGTAAACAAGTGCAGAACTCCCTTGGAATATCCTCTCATGGAACTCCCAGGACATGCAGCCCAATTGGACCACCTCGTTGCTACGTTTGATTCACCAAGATCACTCAGGGCTGCCAATGCTGAGCAGAAGCTCTTCCTTTTGTCCCTTGGCGAAGCTCGTTCTCTTCGTCCCACCGGCCGTTCCACCGGTCGACGGGGGGCGGCCGAGTCCTTGGGACTCCGGGGACTCGACATGGGACCAACGGCTTTGGGACATGCTTTGGGATGTCTCTTTTTCGCTTTTTGGAGCGGAAAACCCATGTGGGGAGAGTGTTTTTTTATTTAAGCTGGCCCCCCCCATGCCAGCTGATGTTTTCCCGAGCACCACTGTGATGTCCGACCATCTCCGAGGTGAGGAGCGGATCCCCTGGACGGACGGATCTCCGGGCCGACGCGGGGCCCGGGCCTTTTGGTTTGATGCCACCGGGTTGCCGGCCATGGTGAGGCCCTTGAGACTTGGAGCATGTGGCCGCAGCCATATAGGTGTCAACACCTTTTGTTTCACTCCATCGTGTCCATTTCCACCTTTTTGGTTCGGTCTGAGGGTTTGGCTGTGGGAGGGACCAACAAATTGTTTGTTTGGTCATTTTGTGAATCGAAACCACGTTTGTGATGATTTTTGTGACACGAGCCTACGTGAACCAGCCTTGAACATCGTAGTTGTTTGGTGGTTCCACAAGGTTCTCCTTGGCTCACGCAAATGCATTGGTGCGTGCGGAAACACAGCTACTCCAGGACACGGCCCTGCAAGAGCTAGCACGGAGAGCAGGAAGGCCCAAACAAATCAATGACCAACGATACCTAGCAAATTAAAGTCTTTTAGTCTCCAGTGGAAGGAACCCTTGGTCTTCCCGCTTTTCCGTTCCCTTGGTTCCGTTCCCGATCTCTTCTCCATAGTAAATACCTTATGACTTATTAAACTACAGTTAAATCTCAACACTTCGGTCATATATCATGTGGGTCAGAGGGGACGGAGACCCATCAGCGACATTCGGCGATGAGGACAAGTCTCTTGGACGAGATTCAGCAGACACACCAGCCACTTAGCCGAATCGAAGATTCAGGACATGTTGACGGAACATGTCGAACACCACGAGCTTCTGATGGCTTTTGCCAAGTTTTGGATGACGTGCTTTCTTCATGTTACCAGTCCGAGCTCGCCTCGTCCGGAGGCTCGCTCGCGTCGGCTCGCTTGTGTCGTCCGAGGCTCAGCTATACCGTTTGGTCGCTCCAATCGGCTCATTTCCCGGTGCCCAGCTGTCGCCCTGACTTCGAAGTGCTCTACGATCCCACCGCCTGCCTGGAAGGCGTGGGCGCGGACGGGAAGTCCCGAAGAAGTGACATGAGCGCCAAAAGGCTCCGATGAAGGCAGCATCACTACAGTGAAGACTAAGTAGAGTGAAGGAAACCTTCAGGAACGATAAGGTTCATTTTAAAAACAAACAGCGATAAGGTTTTAGTACATGTTGTTAGGTGTGTCCAAACCCTGAGGAACGATAAGGTCCACAGAAAAACGATAACGTTGGGAAGAGTGCGCACTACAGCACATATATAAGAGGTTTTGCACGTCGCTCACATGGGGTGCCAAGGAGACTTGCGTTTTGTCGCGAAGGTTGGCCCTTTTTTGTTATGGTGATTTTGCTGTGGACTGTGCTTTGATTCACCTTGATTGTCCTTTTTTTACGAGTCCAAAGCAATGCCTATATCACGTCGATCCTTTCATCCTGAAGGAACAGATAGGATTGCTTGGATTGCTTGGATCAACAAACTAGTGCATCAAGGAGGTCGACTCTACTCGCATGCGTGTTGACCAGATCGGACAACTCCCCGCCTTGCGTCCACAACCATCCGTACCCGTTTTTGGATGCATGCTGCTGATGTGTTTGATGTGCACCATGGAATAGGCACTGTTTCAGTTCAAACCAGATGGGATTCTTATCATTTGCTACTCAATCTAGAATGGAGTCGCTAGAGAACAGCCAGACCCTGAGTGGATTGATACTGGAGCCTGCAGGTTGGGCCAAATATATTTACATCGAATCAGTGGACGCTTGGCCTCTGAACGCTTGCAGAGCCAAAGGTGAACACAAGATAGAATAAAAGACGCGCCTGTGTGTGTGTGTATTTAAAGAAAAACACATGCGAGTAATTGCCTACATGAAGCTCAACAAACGTAACTATCATTTTGTTTGTTCAGAAACCTGAGACGTCAGGAAGAAGACTATGTCCGTACAACGGGAAATCCCGTGGTTCAACATCATTGTATCTCAACAGCAGTGGGCCAGGAAAGAGACCCGAGCTTTGAGCATCTTCTTGGAACCCCTGCCCTTCAATAGCCACGGTCCTCAGGACGGACCTCATTCCTTCCTGACTCTAACCTGACGGCTCGTGCCGATCTCTTCCTTAGGATGGATCTTTGCTGGGCCGACTCTCAGCCAAAATGGACACAGATTGGGTCCGGTCGCATAGATGTTGATCGGCTGGTTTGGGACTGGAGATGAACTGGCTCTCTTAGAAAGGAACCCTCGTGCTTAAGGGGGGAGGTATCTAGACTCTAGACTGCAGGTGATTGATCGGGTGAAAGCTACATTCCTACGTTTCCGGAAGAATTATATAATAGAAGAGTGTAGCAGCCAAATGGACACAGATTCTTTATTCTGAAAAGCTGTTGTTTTTTCTTTGATGAAGATGACACAACATATACGTCCATATTGCTTCTTTTCCAGGAGTGGTTATGAACACATGTCGGAGGACTGTTTACAGTAATAGTTTGGTAAAGGGTAGTGTAGACAGATGAAGAGTCAGGGGCAGAAGGACAATGCATGAAGAGAATCTAGGGGAGTTGGTTACTCCCCTTTCTGAACCTGTACACATCCAAATGGGCCACAAGCTCAACCTGTTTTGAGGGCAGGGCTCATTCACCCCATCTCGGCCTTTCGCTTTCGTTTCGCCGTAGGGAGCGGCCGGTTGGGCCCTTAGCGGTCTGTCGTCCCCCGAGGATATGAGCCTCGTGCCTGGCGAGAGCGCGAGATAGAATCATCCCTCCACAGGACCGGACACGTCGTGGAGAACGTGAGCGCGAGCGACGAGCGGAGAACGGTGGGGGACACACGGAAGCAGCGGAAGCACGCGTGGAGAACGTGCTTTTCTTTGGAATCCTTTTTGGTGGGTGGATTTCCGTGGGGGTTGGAAGATGAATACTTTTTTGATGGGTTTTATGGCTCAGGTCAATGGCATGGGGGTTGGCTGGGGGTTGGCTTTGTGTTGCTTTCATATAGGTTCATACTTGGGTCCAATCAAGGGATATGATATTTGTCCAGTACCTCCAGTTGTATTCAGCTCTTCCATGGGCTTGGATTGTGCAAGTATATGGAAGGTTTTTTAAGTGGTTCTTTGTATTCTTTGCCCTGTTTGTCCCGAAGCCTTTGTGAGCATGCTGACAAGGGGTCAATGTAGGTAAAGCTTGACATATTCCAATGCCTGCAAAAATCATTAGAAATTCACCCCATGAAAGACGATAATTTCAGGGAGTGTATCTTTCCAATGGGAGACCTGACCCTGGCTGGGTAGACTGATCATGACTGATATACTGTATTTCCTTTCTTCCAGAGGGTCGCCACCTCCCAGTCCTTTCGTTCGTCAGGATCCCCACGCAACGCGAGGGTTTGATCTCCCCACCGGTGCCGGTGGACGCTGGGCGGGGATGGTAGACCCAGAAGGAGTGGGGAGGAGGTGATCTGGAATGACGGGCTAGAGGCCACTGTTCACACTTTTGCAGGATAATCAGATCAGCAATCCACGGAGAATTCACGGAGTCAAGTGCTCAAATCCATTGTTGGAGTGAGAGCTGCAGGGCACTAAACTTATTATATAGTTTGGCATACACTTTAGGCTTCCATGAGCAAATTAACTTGCTCAGGTGGTCTCTTAGGATAGTTGACTTTTTGCTCATATGTCCGCGCAGGTTATGTAAGCTTGATGAGGCATGGTCCAAGACTGCTTCACGCGATTGATATTTGGTTTGAGCCCATCGCCAAGCATGACCCCATCCCAAATCTAACAGAATCGGAGTTGTTTTTTTTCTGCCCATACTTCCCACCAACATCACCAAGATGGAACAGCTCACAGCCAGCAGATGGGCGTGGTTGGCCCGTCAAACTTATGGTTTCAACATTCAAGGAACATATTTTTGCACAAAATTGGCTCTGCCTGTTTGAGCAAGGTCCGCTCAAAACCTTCTGGCCAAAGGCCTAAGGCCGAGAAAAAACTGAACAACCGCCAGAAGAATGTCAGTCATTTCTGGTTTCTGACACTGGAAGAGCGCCCGTATTGCACCGTTGGCTCCTGAGTTGGCTTTGGAAAACGCAGGAAAAACACTTAAAGGACGCATCTTCACCATCACTTACTTGAGCCTTGACAGCTTCGCAAAGCCATGATGTAAAGCTCAAGCAAAACCCTGCCAAGAGCAGACACATTAAGCCTGACTTCATGTGTCGGCAGTCGAGGCTTGTCCTACGGTCGGTGGCTGTCCTCTCTTGCCAGCAGTTTGTTGCTCTTGTTGCTAGCGTCTTTACATGAGAGAGGCCGTCGAGGGGATAATAAGGCAAAATCGAAATGGACATTTACGCGGACAAACGCAACCCATGTAAATCTTATCCTCGGCCCTGCCCTTTTTTTTTCATTAATTGCGAATTCCATTGCCACGTGGTTACTTAAACACAAACTGCTGGGGCAGAGCTGTGCGCTGCGTCCAAGCCAAACGCAAGCGGACATGGAAACTGTTTGACGGGAGTCCATCAGCGGCCGGCCGTCTTTATTTTCACCTTGGCACCTTGAAAACTTCCAGGCTCAGGAAAGCAATTATTTTTGTTTAATTTGGATGTGGCTGGTGCTGGGAACCAGGATGGCATTGATATGCTCAGCCGTTTAGAAAACATGTTTCATTTTGGAGCCTATTTGACGAGGACACTAAATTCCTCAGAAGTTGGATTCCTGGATATGAGCGCGAGGTGACGAGTTAAGATTTAAAGTTGATTGGCCAGCAAGATGGTCGGTCTTGCTGTTTTGATGGTGGTTAAACACGTTAGAAAAACACCACCCGAAGACCGTTTTCCTGGATCTTTCTTACCAACACCCACAATCTTCCATGGGACACCCTTCCACGGATCTTCTTTAAAAAACCTTCGCTACTTACCCGACAGATCGCCACAGCACGCATCGTCCCGTCCTACGGCTGAGGATGTGACCTACGTCTCACCCTTGGTCGGGAATTGCCATCAGTTGAAAGAGATGCTCACCGCTGAGAGCATGACCATCAGCAAGCTGGCGCGGAGAGACGAGATAAGATGGTCGGAGGGAGAGGATTTATTGGAATCGCCATCGCCTATCTTTTCCTCCCTCTCTCTCTCTCTTTCTCTCCCTCTCTTTGTGGGGAGAACTACTTTCCGGCCTCTCGCTGACATTGAAGTATAGACCATGAAACCATTCCGTGAGCCTCTTATTCAAAACAAATCTCGGCAGGTCTATGTGGCCTTCAACCCAACACTGCTACCGCCTGAAGAGGCTTCTCCCAATTTCACAGCGCTGCTTGAGCTTCTTGGCGGTGGAAAAACTTCACTGCCAGGCGAACCCTAAACAACTAGCTGGTAGATGGAACAAACAGTGGCGGGTGGTGGATGGTTTTGTTTGGGTCACTGATGTTGATTGGATCCAAACTAGCTCCCACCCAGCTACCCCAACCGCTTTTCGAAAAACACACACGCACGCCCAAGTCACAGACCAAAACGTCACCGGTTCGTTTCGAACTGGTCGTCGGTCGTCCGCTGAGGACCTGGCGGGAAACGTCCTTCGACGTCTCCGACCGAAGCCTGCGGAGTTTTCTGCTGGCGCAGCCGCTCCACGCGTGTTTGAACGAAGGGTTGGAGTGGGGTGGACGGGGTGTTGGGGAAGGGAATCCTCATGACCGAAGATCGGAAAACGTGATTTTTTCCATAAGTTTGGGGAACTTATCGTGGTTTTATCAACTTTAAGAAGGAATCGATGGATTGATTTGTACCAGTGAGTTTGACCCCAAACCGTGGCTGAAGGACAGGGAATTACAGACAACCCAACAGGAGACTTGAGTGCACATTGATCGTGTATGGTTTTGTGTTTTCGATGATTACCAGGCTATAAGAGGCACTTCACCTCATTCCAAGAAAGGTGACAGGTGAGGAGTTCCTGCTGCGTTAATTGAAGGCTTTGGTAAAACAATTCCTTCGGCAGGTGCTGATGAATGTTACGAACAATGGCCTGCATGACAAGTAGAGAATTACATACTTTGTCACATAGCCACGCAAGATGACACAGCAAGTACCTTTGCATTCTGCAGCAAACGCCCTCCGCTTATTTCCTGGACCTCTCACGTGTGTATTTGGAGCAGGGCCCCCTCCCTTTTGTTCGGAGATGTTTGTGTTTAGGGGTAAGGAGTGCCATAGAATCCCTCAATTTTTCCGCTAGCAGCTCCTAGCATCCTGAAGACGGGCATTTTGCCATTCGGGATGGAGTGGTTGTCTCAGGTAGAATCAATCAGCTTCAGGTAAGCCACCAGTGATCTTTGGTCTTGGACTTGGAGGACAATCCTATACAGTTTTAGTAGGGAGGTCCTTCGATCAACCAATTTTATCCTGACGACTTGTACAGATCGAGTCATGTTGACGTAAACTCTTCAGCTGGATGCACTTGAAAAGCTTGGGTCAACGGAAAACTCTTGAACCACTTGACAGTTGAGTCTTTGCTCAGAACCCTTCTCCATTCTTGTTGGGTGATCACCATCTAAGAAGGATGAAACCATAGGAAGCCAGTTCTTTGTTGAGCTGTGAACTCTCCCTATGTAGCTTCGCCCGTTTTTTTTCATTGGAGTTCGTATCGGCGCACTCTCGTGCGAGACAGCGCGACCGCCGCGACCGTGAGGTGTTCCTTAAGAACGATCTCCCAGTGGCTCCTCCCGCTGCACTATCGCCTTTTGCACGTGGAGCACTTCTTGGCAGTGCTTTGGGCGAGCACTATTCTTGTTCCAAAGAGAGCTGAGCAGGGCGGGTCTCCAGAGCCAGATTGATGTGGTTCTATATTCTGGGTGTACTTTTTTTTGTTGGGGGAGGGCAAACAAAAAGAGATGGTACATCATTTGAAAATCCATATGAGGACGCGATGTGAGGTAGTTTTTGAAGGCAATGTTCAGTTCCCCTAGGATGAACCGGTGAGTTCTGTGATGCGCATGGGTCTAGGGCTTGGCGGCACTGTTCGTTGCTTGGTTCTCCAATGTGCTGGCGGCTCCTTTTTGAGGATATTACACTCTGACGAACACATCACATGGAAGTGGAAAATGGCCTCTTGGAAGACTACTTTCTTTTACAAACAATGGGTTTTCCACTTCCATGATAGTGAGTTGGAGTGTGGATGTTGGTTCCTTTGGAGGCAGATAGAGCATGATAGAGCAAAGGGATTCAGCAAGTCTCTAGGAAGGTATCTTAGGAAAAACCATGCAACATCACTCCATATTCAGTCATTTGCGATCGAAACACAAGCGGAGGCAAACACATGTTGGTTGCTCCAGCCAAAACCACCAGGCTCGATCATCCTCGGCCCACATCCAGAATGCTTGGCCACAACATGTGGGTGATGGCTGAACTGAGCAGACAGAATCTGGCTTTCTTTGGGTGACATTGTTGGACCCGAAGTCGATTGACATCTTTTGACACTCAAATCCCATCATGTTTCAGTGTGGTTCAGAACAGCAAACAGTTCCGAAAGAATGTGCTGGAGAATCCTGAACCTATCCAGATATATCGCTTGGAGCATGTGAAGTGCATGTCTTGCCATGTCTTGCCATTTCAAGAGTTGATAGCAAGTTTAGACCTTCTTTCTTCACAAATCCCAATCGTTTGGTCCGGCGAATGGGTCGTCCATGGGACGCATGGTGAAAAAAGTGTGGCTCATGGCACCGGAGGACCCTTCAGCGGGTCAAGCCGAAGAAGGGTGACACGGGGGGGTCCAGGTGCCATGACCCGATGAAGCGGCTTCCAGGTGCCATGAACCCCTGTTTGGGGTTCCAGGTGCCATTGATGAGTTCACTGGAGACAGGAGACATGGGCGAAGCAGCGAAGCCATGTGTTCTGACCGCTTTCGACAGGTTTATGTGCACACGGCCTTTGACGCGTTGTTTCCGGCCACCAATGAGATGGATGCATGGCGTCAAGGCTTCTTGGCGAATCTTCGGGATGTCACGGGGAAACTTCTGGATGCATCCAATTTGTCCAAAGGCAACATGGAAACATTCACTCATATTCAGAAACTGGTCCAAGAATGCAACTTTGTTTAAGTTGAATTATGTGTATATGTTGCATGTTATGCATTCCTTTGGGTTTGTTTTCTAGGGTATGTTAATACGAGGTGGTATGTTGCCGTCAAGACGATCACTGTGGATTGATTAGATTGATTCCACTGCTCAGGATGGTTTTGCTCACCGTTGCCGCCTAGATGCACAAAGGCCCCAGGCATGAATCATGTTGATGCAACCTTTTTATATACTATTTGCACGGATGGATAATAAAGGAAATGACATGCATCGATTGATTGTCACCACCTGATGACATGCCACCTCACTTGGAATCGCCGCACATGTCCCATCGCCTCCTTTGCGCTTTCAGATATCACCGTTGGGCTTCTCCAATGCAAACATATTTCCGCGTTATACTTTTTGGAGGCAACAGCAGAGGTCACAAGGGTTTGCGCTGGCCAAGCAAGCAAGCAAGCAACAATGGACCAACCAACTGCATACCAACACCCACAAATTTGTCCTTCCTCCAAGGTCCAAATTTATTTTTGGGTTGGAAAGCGCCACTGGAGCGCTACTGCCTTCAGCAGAGTTGGCTTCTCGCGCACTCTGCGGCCCAGGCCGGCAGAAGAGACTGAGACTTAGATGTACCCGTAGCCATAATGTGTATATACATTCCCAGCAGAGTGCAGTTGTTTTTCAATCTTTGAGGCTGGGAGTTGTACACAGTTTGTGTATATTGACTATATCATGATTATATACTATGTATACGATATATATACTAATCTGTTTTATAATTGGATGCACCTATTTGTCTCGAAGGATGTCCAAGTAGATCCTTCATGCAAAACGCCTCCGTTGCGGCTGAAGGTACATCGCTGGATTGCGACTCTCGGAAGAGTTTCTGTTTGTTTTTTGTTTGTGTTGGTTGCTTAGTTTCTTGGTTGGTTTGTCCAGGCTTGTTTGTCAGTTGTGTTTGTATTTTAAGCGGCTAGCGATGTTTCCAGTTTTGTCAGTTCTGGACAACAATATACCGTCAAGAGCATGTCAAGAGAGACAGACTTCACAGAACGCCAGCACCACCCAAAGTTGTTTGGCTGTGCTGCAAGAAAAAACAGCTGGTTTGTATTTCTGAAAATAAACACTATCCATATCCAGTCCCATGTCCCAGGGAGGTCCTCCCAACCGCCACGTTCTTTTCACCCCTGCCTTACGTCGAGGAGTGCCTGGTGCCCTACCAGGGCCTCCTTTGTCAAGAGACCTCCGTGGGCAAACATCTACGGCCCTACCAGGCACCGTCAGCATCGCCATCACCGCCCCCGACCGACGGCGCAGAATCGGTTGTGGGTTGATGAAGCCCGAGAATCGATGGGGTTGGGGAGATCATCGTTTCTTTTTTATGTCTACCGGTATTGTAGACTCGGTGTTTATATTTCTTTTAAAACCCAATTGGATTCTAAAGGTTCTTCATATGGCGAGTTTGATTCATCAAGAGTCTGCATTATTCAGATGTGGTAGGTCACCTGTAGGTCATTTAACTATGTGGAAAGTTTTTGTTGGCTCTTCACAGCTTGAACTGCTTCCCCACGGGTCAGGCTGCAATCCACTACATTGTGGACGACACTCCGGAGCAGCTTAGCGAAGCGCTGCTTTAGGCTTCGCAAAGAACGTGTCGGGTTACATGTTTGTAGGATGCAGCAAACAGGCGTTGACTTCTCAATACAACAGGGCCCAGCATTGTTTCAAGTCGTTGGCACTTTTTCAAAATTCACTCAAGTTCAGGATTTGGAGCATGGTTCGACTAGCCAGTGCTAGACCAGTCACCCAAAGCAAGCCCTGCGGTGTCAGAGATCCAGTCATCATCGCAGCGGTCTGGATCCACTAGGTCGTCTGGAGCGAAGAAACATCGCACAGAGGAGCACAGTTCAATAAGATTCAAAAAGGAAGAGGGTTCAACATCATTCGTCATTTGATGTGTTTGTTTTGATGTGTCGCTCATTCTAAACCGTTTCATCCAATTTAGGCAGAAGACGGATCGCAAGACAAGTAAGGCCTTCAGGCCATTGGAGTGGCCATTTCGTGGCCCGAAACGCTGAGGCATTTGCAAGAGCTCATCTTCAGCCTCAAGAGTCATCCAGCCAGATGGGGTAAGGGGTATGGGATGGGATGGGATGGTATGGGTCGGAATCGTTTTATAGGACCTTGTTGGGCAGAAAAAGAAAAACCTCTATATATAGCGGTGAAATGTTGAATCCATATAGGTCTTTCTTCATGTCCAGCGGACGGGCCGTTGGGCTCAATGAGATTCATACCATGTCCGCTGGGTTTCCTTTGTCCTTTAGGGTCCGGTGACGGACCTGTGACGAACCTGTGTAAGATACACTGGTCGGATTGGTTGGGATCTCTACAGAGAGCGAAGCTAGTCAGAGTGGTGAGGATCGTGCTGCTTGAGCCAATTCATGGAAGGCATCGTTGCATCAGCTGACCCAAACTGTTGATACTGATCATCGTGCGCGGGAACATGACTAGTATTGTGTTGGCCCCTTGCTTGCTTGTTGCTGCTTTGGGATTTATACTTCTCTGAAGAGATTGTTCAATGCTTTCGTTTTACGAAACAGGATGAGGGACAAGATCCCTCAGCCACTGCCATTTGGCCATCAGGTCTTTTCAAAGCCTTCAACGCTAAGCATGACTACCCGGTGCCCTGGAATTGGATTCAGATGGATTCGACATCTTCTTCAACCATGCCATCCAGTCCCTCCACATGGGAACATGTCCGATTCTTTGGACCACGCGGAGCGATGCGGGAGCGGCTGGTTACGTTGTAGAGACAAGGAATGGGTGCCATGTGTGTGTGGACAAGCCTCATGACAGGTCATAGCATGTCATAGCCTAATAATGGACCAACCATGGATCAACCATGGATAAACTCCTGAACTCATGACATAAATGAACCGATGGATAAATCTTGCCACATCCTGAACTCTTTGAGATCGGCGAACGGACTGAGGTGCTCATTTTCCATGATGGACTGTCCTCGCAAAGCCGCCAACGGCTCCGGGCTGCGAGTCTGCAGCGGATTTGGTTCTTCTCGGTGGGAGAGCAGTGGCTGCCAAAGGCACAGATGCACAGCAGCTTTGGATTGGGTCACTGGGCTGAGGCAAAGATGTGTGATGTGTTTCTTATTTTTTAAATCGGACATGAGCGGACCCAAGCCTAGCATCAAGGTAGATAAACATCTCTCAATAGGCCATCTATATAATCAGCTGATTTGTTCATTTTCAGCGGAGGTACGGACATCCAGTGGATCATTCCGCTGTGCTTGCTGGACCACCCCACAGAACATCTTGGTGCATGATGTCGTAGCGAGTGATTGTAACAAGATTGAATTAGTGACCCAGGTTGCCCAAAACCAGGTAGAGCCTTTCTGATAGTTGAGTCTACAAGAGTCTGGCACCATTGAACCGTTTCATTCAGGATACATGGCTCAGTCCCGCTTCCGCTCGCAGCCGCTCTTCGATCATCCTGCAGTGCAAGGTTTTGACCCTTGGAGTTGCTTTTTGGGGCGTTTCCGAGGGAAGAACTCCGGCACCACTTCAGAGTTTGGGGATGTTTTACAGCTGTTTTAGTCGCAGGATTTCGGACTGTGGGAGCGGAGGATTACATGATTCCATGTGTGGAAGACCACTTACACTCCCTGAAACAATCATGGTTACGTGGAACAGTTCGGCCCGGGCCCCTGGAAGACCAGTCTTGTCCTCTACAAGGGGGGTTTGCCCAGCTTCCATGATTGTTTGAGGGAGGGTAGATGATGATCTGTGTGTTTTAGTTGGGGATCCCTGAATCTTCCTTAGAAGACAGACCAAGAGCATGCTCCGTGAACGTCTTTTCGGTAGAATATGTTCTTCCCTTTGCAGCCCAATTTGGTCGGCTTAGTTGCTGTTATGTGCCTGCTGGATCTCCCATGTACAGCTTGCCTGTGGCATTTCCTCAAGCAAGTTTCTCTTGGGCGCAGGTGGTTGTGCGGTACTCAAACGTTCCAGATTCCATCTACAAGACACGTGTTTCCATGTTGCCATTTGATATCATTTACTTTGAATATGTTTGTGTGTTTCAATTTGCATCAGCTATCACATGTTGTGCAATTTGTACGCAAAGCATTTGTTTCATGTTGTTCCCATGTTGGAAGTGTGCATTTTGATGTTAATGGGATGGATGGTTTCGCTGGCAGCTGGGCGATTCAACATGTTTTTTTCTGCTCCCCGTCAGCCCAACTGAGTCTTGTCAGGACTACTTGTGGTCCTTGGACAGCGACAGCCATTTTCCGTCCCAAGTCAAGGCTGAATGGGAAGGGTGGCGTACCCAGCCCCTAGGGCTCCAGTCGTACCTTCTGAGAAGGTGGGACTGGGGGGCCCGGGTGGGTTTGGAGGGTCCAAACACCTGAGGAGGTACGACTGGATCCCAAACGGGAGCTTTCAAGAATATCTACCTCGCCATCCGCGCACACTTTGGGGCCAAACATCGAAGGGCGCCCAGCCCTTCTTCACTCGACCGATCACCGGACGAATTTGACAGTTTTTGGTGGGTGGGTTTTTGGGTGAACCCTTGGGACGAACCGAACGGACGAACGCTGGTTGTGTAAAAGACATTGAAGTATAGGGTAATATCGTTGTAACCGCGATGTCACCCTCTGGTGTGACATTTGTTGACCTTTTCAGGTGAAGAATGCCAACCAGCTCGCCGGGCGGGTCCCTAAGCGGGGTCCACTTTAGGGTCCCTTCGGCTTGAAGGTGGATCCTTTCCTGGAGCTTCACCAGAACTCCCACATCGTCATGTCTTGGCCACTCAGTTTGGTTCATCTGATCACGATCGCGCTGCAAAGCACCGGTCGTTTTTGGGAAAGCCGAGTGATGGGGATGGGGTTTGCTTGGGTGAATGTTGTCAGATCCGATTGATAGTGGGATACGTATATGAAACATTATGAAACTCCGTTTGTTCACCTTGATTGGTCCATGTTGAGTAACACCTGTATAATTAAGCCAAGCAACATCCGTGGAAGGAAGGCTGAGACGGCTAGTTAAGGAGATTAAACGTTCATCCGTTGCCGTTGCGTGTTAAAAATGAATGATCGTGATTACAAATATTTCAAGACATGTATATAGGATTGAAGACACGTGATTCCTGCACAGTCTGCAGTCAGTTTGATATGTCAACTCTTTGTTTTACAGGTTTGATCAGTTCTGCTGGCCCCTATGATGGAGCTTGGACTGGGTACAAGAAAGTCAATGTATCAATAGTTCCAGGAGTTAATGCTCCCTATCGGGATCCAGTCGTACCTTCTCCAAACCCACAACAATGTCTCCGTCCGAAAAAAAAAAAAAAAATAATAATAAAATCTCACACGTGTGCGAGTGCAGTCCGGGCCACTCCTTCTCACACCCGTGACGACGGGCCACGAATTGATTCACACGTCGTCCGTGGCCTGACGGAGACGATGTGTCGACCTGAGGTCCTACATGACCTCCACGTCACCCGCCTCGGTCCGACGCTTTCTGTCCTGGCGGGTTGGATGCGAAAGAGCCATTCATTGCGCAATACACCTTTAAGTGGTGTTTGATGTGGAAGAAGTAGGGGGGGAAGTTTCTGGTGAAAAGAACAACTCTATAGACTTGCCGTAGACTTGCTGGGCTTCTGTTCTGGCGCGCAAAGATGAAGGCGGATCAACACTGAATAGCACTTAAAACTCAACACTTGAAGCATCTTCAAACTCTAAGCAATTGTTCATGGAAACGGCACACATGATGTTGTGTCAAAAGATGTCAACGGAGTGATTCCCCAAACAACAGCTTGTTTCCCTCTCCCTTTTTTCTGTGCTTGCAGTACTTCTTTGGTATGTGGTTTGGAGATGGTTGGAGTTTTTTGCACCCCATGCTGATCGTAAAATGGTGGGTTTCTGGATCTTCTTTGGGGGGAAGCATGGTTGTCAGGATGTGTTGGGCTGTGGGAGACAGAGTGCACCTGAATCATCCTGAATAATCATAGTTTCGTTCAATTATACTATATATATATATGATTATTTAAGGATGTATGGATCCTTGAGAATCCCTAAGAATAAACAATATAAAACCAGAAATATACATATATATATATATATTGGTAAATTAATCCCTTTGGTAAATTATTCCACGATGCTCGACCAGGTTGCATTTGATTCATCGATCAGGCTGCCTAATATGTCAGTTCGAGTAGCCGGGAAACTTGGACAATCACAATCGCTTGATGAAGAAAACCTCAGGTATGGTACTCTTTTTGGTCAAGACAACAACCTCATTGTCATGTTGTTTATCGTTTTTTAAACGTTCTGGGCTGTGGATTGCGGACTGCAGATTGTGTGTGTCGAAACTTGCCTTGCCTCGCAGTTTCCACAAACCTCACCCAAATCCTCAATTGTGGAATAATTTTGACATGTTTCTGTGGGGCCCTGTCATTCTCTTGCACCAAAGGAGGTTTGCCTTGTTTTTTCTGGTTCCTGACTGTTTGCAACTCATGGGCCTTTGCTTCGAGTTCAGGGAATGTTCCATGATCCTGTTAGCAAGCAAATCCTGAGGAAAGCTTTGGGACTACACCATGATCTACGCCATGAAGGACTCCCAAACTCAAATTCATCAGCGTTGCCGGAGACTTCCGGAGAGAAAAGGGTTGCAATGTGAAACGTGAAACCTCCCTTCAAGGGTTGGGAAGACTTATGACATCTCATGACATGCCCGTGCCTAAACATGTTCTTCCAGATTGAATGTCAGCTTTGGAGCGAGCATGTTCAAATGATGCAAAGGTGGAATTTGGGTCACAGTTCAGAAAAATCGTGCTCCGGCAGGAAAATCTAACGCTGACCAACAGACTATTGACCCACACCCCTGCATGAATTACTATCTACTCACGTTTCATGTTATACTATTTGAAACAGTTCGATTGGTCTTCTATGTGTCGGTCAGGAGCACATTGATCTATGGCCTTTGGAATGCATGCCTGGCAGTTTGTTGAAGGACATGTGCTTCAACATCTTCAACTTTTTAAGCACATGTTGAAGACTGAAGATGTTAGTGGCTGAAAGTCGTTGACTTGCAACTTACTTCTTTTGTTTACATCTTTCAGTCAAGTTGCGTTAGTGAACTGAAAAGAAAAAAAACAAGATGATGAGGTCCGAGAAGCTGAACGGCTCGGTCGGATCGAGGCCGCTAAAGCCGGGGCGGTTTGACTGGCGGGGCGGTTTGGCGGGGCGAGGGGCGGTGCTAGGGGACTAGATCCACTGTATCCATATCATGCAGGCATAGAGGATTGAATGGTGATTTCATGTGATTGCAGCTTCATGCGATTGCAGCTTTGTTGGGTCAAGAGGAATGGCCAGGACATGGTGAAAGCATGCCTTGACTAAAAAAGGTGTTCTCTTTCAAGAGGCAGCTTGGATACTCTGGAATCTCTTGGGGTTGCTGTGTTGCCAGTCTCCTGTCTGGTGTCGCAAGGACTGTCCCTTCCATTGAGGTCATGGGTCCAAACGAGATCTGATTGGTTAAGTGACCCCAAATCTAGAGAGAAGAAACTAGAGCTTGGAGTCCCAAACAACGAGACCAAACCTTCGAAGGTATGGATCGGTACGCAGGTATGAGTCGTCTCAATTCTTTGTACATCGGAATCACTTTGCGACATCCCCAGCTCGAGTATTTGACGGGAGGACTGGCCATGTCAGCCATGTTTGCTCCAAGTTCAGTGGGTGCTGTGAGGAACAGCAATCTAGATATTCAAGGGAATCCATGGGCAACCTATGCCTGCAATGGGGATGCCATCCACGGTTGGACACTTCATGCCGAGAAAAAAAAGCATCCGGGTGCCACATGGTGGCCAGGATACGAGTCACGGTTTGCCTTATGTATTAACTGGCATTTCTCAGGGCTTCGGCAGCGGCATGGCTTCTGGCGTTCCTCATGCACTGATTCACTGGGAATGCTTTGTCCGCACCTGCCAGCTTGCTGGAGTGTGGTTGAACCCTTGTAGGGGTGGGGAGTGCACAATTCCAGCTTTCCAGCTTCTGGTTTTATATATTGATCACCGATCGTCGACCGGATCGTCGGTTCTTTCCCGTAGAGTTCACCCCTGGCCGCAAGGGCAGAGACATCGCACTTCATCTCCAAGTTCTTGGTCTCCAATGGCCTCCCAGCATGATGAATTTAACAAACCGAATAGGTGGCGTCGATGTAGGCTGTGGTGTCAGGATTTTCCAGGTGGCGAGCACCCACCAGGGTTGCCGCCTTGGTTTCACTGTGTGAGAAATAGAAATAAGTTGGCCATTCACTTATCGAAAAGGTATAACCTGTCAGATTTTGGGTTAGGATATAGATGGGTATATATATATAGATGGATATAGGGTTTCATGTTTTTGAGGGATGGAAGTTTTTGTTTTTCTCGATTTAAAGAGAGCAAGCGGTAAGTTGCCTTAGTTGTTGTTCATTTGATTAATCAGTAAGTTCAGGGCGTTGCAACCAAAGTCTTGGCATTAATATGTTTGTCATGCACAAGCTTGCTACTTCTTGAGCATCCGCCTGTTGATACGGTCAAATCTTGTGACGGTCGCCGGTTCTGTGCATCCAATACGAGGGATGTTCCATACGTGTTGCGGACTTTCGGGCCGAACCAAACCGGCCCTGGGTCCGAATGGACCATCCAACAGACAGAACAGGTGCAAAACACGATCCATCCGAATCCATATCCATCCTGGGACATTTTCTTGTTCTCAGTTAGACTTTTTACTCAGGTGAGTAGCGCAGTTCCTTGCCCCACCATGCATGCAAGTCGAAACGAACACCAACAATAAGATGTGAAAGGCATCGCTTTGATGGCATTCAAATTGCTGGTGCCTGCGGCATGGTTTTCCAGACAAACTGAGGCCTGAAAAGGATGCCTGCATGGAATTACAATGTGCTGATGACTGATTGTGGCCTGGTGCAGTGATGTTGTGACAGTTGAGCCAGTCCAAAAAGATGACCATGAGCAACTAATATTATTGTCAATATTGTTATTTTTCTCAACAGTTTATGGCTCCAACTACATCCTCCATAAGTTTTTTTTGGGCTTCATCAACAGTGCCAGCAAAATCACAGATACCATGGACTGGCATATTCACCGCGAACTTCAGATCAACGAGCCTGGCCTGGTCGGTCGGACTGCCGCTCCCAGACCTGGAAGTGGAAGTGGGAATGTGTAACTGTGTAGCCTGTGTAGCTCAAAAAGGGACACCAAGCCGGCAACGACTCCCTTGAGAGAAAGAACCCCCCCTTTGATTGGTCTCCCTATTTCAATTTCAATGATACACACCCGTTAGTCACTGTGGATCGGCCACAGTCCCAGGCGAAGTCTTGCGGCTCTCCTTCTTCCGCAAAGCGCGGTATCGGCTCCTTGGACTGGATGATGTCCGTCTAGGCGATGTTTGAAGATCGATCTTTAGATGAGGATGTGTTCTTCTTTGAGGTGAATCTATGAGGATTGGAGAGGAAGAACATCTATGAACATCTGATTTATTCTGATTTTATGTTTGCTCCAATCTTTGAGGTCAATCCATGATGAAGATTGGAGCAAGCAGAATAAAATCATATCAAATCTAGGATCCCTCGAGCCAGAGATGTCTCGTCCATCACTCATATCTTTTCTTCTCCTGCACTTTGATTGGACATTTGGACTCGATTGACCACTGCCGAAGAAACCACAATCAGGACTACATTTAGAATATCTCTTGGAATGTGCTTTTGAAGAAAGAACAAGCCAAGAAAAAACGCTTGATGAAAAAAGAGTGTCACTAGTGCGTCAATCACATATTGGACCTATTGAGGACATGTGTATATATATATATACATTGCCTGTAATATGCAACAATCAACACACATATACAATATATGTATCATTAGTTATAATTAATGTATAATATATATGCATGCATGATATAGCAAACAACAAACTGGACCGCTGACCTGAGGCACTACTTTGACTTTTTGGATTCCATGGAGGGCTTCTTTCGCCACCGCTGGGGCGACCATGCCGTGCGCTCGTTGGGTCTGGCTTTGGCGCTCTGGGAGGAGACGTCCGAGACCAGTGGAATCCTGATGACTTCATGTAGACGAATTCGATCTCTCTTCCTCTATAGTGTCAACCCGAATTACATCATGTAGAGGTTTTACAATCCGTCTGAGGGGGATAGTAATCCAGAGTCCACATTCATTACAGGGTCTTGGACTGTAGATATTCGGAATGTAGATGCTTGGAGCTACATAATGATGGTGCCCATGATGGTCACAGAATGTCTTTATTGCATCCAAGACAATGCCGTGCCACCTAGCCACTGTGAGGCCGGACTGAACCAGTGCCTTCGGTTTGAAAAGGTAGGTCCAGGTAGGTTGAAGGGAATACTGCTAACTTGCTGGGAGACGTGTAGAAGTGTAGAACTCAACTGGGCTGGCTGGCTTATGAATCTTCAAGTCAGTTGCCGGTTCAACTTGCTGGATGCTATTCAATAGCAGGCGAAAGACCAAACAGCTGGCTGTTATTATTGCAAGTCCGTCCTTATCGGTTCCGCAGGAAGATCGAAGCACCTGGCGCATCGGTGCTGAGCCCAGGGTGAAGCAGATGGAGCTGCCGTACGCGGCTGGGCTGATAGGATTGAGGAAGATGGAGCTGCCAACTGCGGGGGAACGCGAGAAGTCATGTAATCCAAGTCCCAAGGGTTTGGGGCAGTTGGGCCCTATTGGCGAGCCTATTGACTCCTCAGAGCTTCCGAAATCATCGTGAGGTGATCAATCAAAAACAGACTCAACTGCTGCGGCGACATCGACTGTTCAAGAGACGAGGAGTTGAGGAGTCATGAGGAGTCCAGCAGACATGTCCCGCCCCGTGAGCAGAAGCTGGACTTGGATTCTAATGGATTTTTCCCTGAGAGTCCTGCTATCAGTAAAAGTAGGACTGATATAAATTACATAAAAGTCTACCAGACGCAACAGTTGCAAACTGGTATCTTTGCTCTCATGCTGAAAGTCCAGGTACAGTTAAGTCGATGAAGCATCTTCCAGGTACATCCGGCTCGCCTGATACATTCGAACAGTCCAGTTAACGGTTCTTCAGTCCCACCACCCCCGGGCTCTAGCCCCTTCCTCCTGAAACGCCGAGGCTCATCAGGACTTTTGTCAATGCCATGATCGGAAGACCGGGCCTTGCCGTCCAATCCATGACCCCAAGCAGCAGATTCTGCACAGCGAGCTGCAGGGCCTTCGCAAGAGGTTTTGGACTTGCGAGGCATAGAGAGGCAACCTTCATTTAGAAGATGTGGTAGCTCCTGGAGTTGTTGGAAGATGCCCATCTGTGCATTGGAAGATTTGGTAGCTCCTGGAGTTGCTTATAGATGCCCATCTGTGCATTGGAAGATTTGGTAGCTCCTGGAGTTGTTGGAAGATGCCCATCATCTGCGCATTGGAAGATCAGGTAGCTCCTGGTTCTGTTCTTAGCTTGCAGGGCCACCACCTTGGATTGCCTTCGACCTGACTTTCGCACTTTGCGGCCGATGCAACACCGGAGTTGCGCACGGTTCGTCTCACCGTCTCTGTTCTTCACATGGCTTCACCGTCTCAGTACCGCATGGAGAACCAGTCAGCGGAGAGTCCAGCGGCTGGGTGCCCGTGGCTCGTGGGGGTCGGAGAAGCTGAAGAGAAGCCGAAAAAGAGCTGAGCACTTGAAAAGGCCAGTGACCTTTGGGGTGTTTCATGGTGTTGATCCGTTAAGGCCAGAGTCTCCATTGGACATCCGACCCATCGGATGACCGTAGACTTGATGCTAAGACACGGGGAGCGGTCCGTGGATCCATGTTGTGTGTCCAGCGTGTGGGGCTTGCTCATGCTAGTAGTTATGGTGTCTTTACTGTGTTCTTCGTAGTGAAGGTGATCTTGGATGCTGGAACGCACAATCGATATGGACCTCAAATCCATGGCGACAAAGTCTACAAAGGCACCAATAATTCCAGGCAACCTTGCATAAAGAATGTGTTTGACACACACTGCCAATTATATCGCCATCCCGAGAGCCCAGATGCGCGTCTCTTTCACTGATCCATCTTCTTGCAGGTCATATCCCCTACCGCAACAGTCGCCTCACCATGCTGTTGAAAGATTCCTTGGGAGGAGACTCAAAGGCAGACGGCGCGAACGGTCCGAGTGGTGGGCCAGGTGAGGAGGCACCCGGAAGGTCGTGAGGGTCGTGATTGAAAGCGCACTTCCGGTGAGTTGCACGAAGTGTTGTACGTGCCGGAAGTTCATGTTAGATAATTCTCATGTGCTTCTTCAAGAGCATGCTTCATCATATTTCATCATGGGAAGCCCTTTTTGCTTGTTTGTTTTGTTTTCGGTCTAGCCCCTTCATGGATGAACACAAGTAGCTCATGACTTCACTGCACGTCCGATCATCACACAGTGCATATGAAGGCAGTACCTTGCAATAGTGAGAGCATTTTATTCATTGGGCTGCACACTGCTCGAGCATCCTTCATTCCAGCAAGGTATCCACATGGCTTGAGTCCCTCAAGTGCAAAAGAAACACTTAAAACAAACTTAAAGAAGTAAGTCATACAAGGTAGATCAAGCACCATCATGGTATCCAGGTGACTGATCGAGCTTGCGTATCGAGCCATTCTGTCGATGGTGAACTTCATAGAGTCCAAGGATGTGGACGGCCGCTGATTGGATGGTTTTTGTTGCCACATCCTTGGAACTATAATATTATACTGCATATATCTCCATGGGACTGGGTCAGACATGCGCCATCATGGATGGGTCAGACATGTGATAAATGTATATTCCATGCATGGATGGTTTGGGACCTCTTCAAGCGGTGAATTTGGATGCTGTCATGGCTTCAAACGTCGACGCATAGTATGCATAGCGAAACGTGTGTCTGGGATGAACAAGCTATAGTCCATGAATTTAGCTTACACACCGGTGTGATATTTAGATGTTTCCTACATCACTCATGAAGAGTAATGAAGTTGTGGTTTTAATCATATTTGGGTGCACAGCACCTTGGTGGAAGTAAAAGTAGATGAAACACCATGGCCTGGCACTGTAGGTCAACCCCACAACTTGGCGAGAACGGGTGCTGGTGGTCGGACACGCTTCTTTTTTTCATGCAGGCCTTGATGTTCGTGAACGTCTCCATGTGCTGCCAACATCTTCCCGAAACCCTCTCCTCCCTGCGCTTTGCTGCAAAGGCCTGGCTCGGCGGGCGATGGTGTGTAGAGAGCCCATGGGAGTCCCTCCAGCCAATGGGTTTACACTCGGACACATCACATGGAAGTGGATGGCCCACTGTGTTCGTAAAGGACACTTGTCGTCCAAGGGATTCCAAGGGTCCATATTCCACATTCCATGCAAGTGAGTCGGAGAGGGAGTGTTGTAGTTTGCTCGTCTACAACTTAAATGGTTACTATACGGGGGGACATGCGTATCCCTTTTCAATATGGACACCTGCATGGACACCCGATGCTTCGTCGAGTTGCCGCTCGCTGGGCCAAGCACGGGAGCAGCATGGCTTGGTTTCGGGAGTTTGGTGTATTGTTCTTTTCTGCGGGGATGTTGCTGCCATGCCAGCAACATGTGGATTGACTGGAAGGGAAGGCTGGATATGGCTGGATCAACTGGGAAGTTACTGCTGAAGGTCAGCAGATCTTGGATGGGATCAAAACCCTTCTTGTTTTTTTTCACTTGAGTCACGAGACATGAAAAGTATCTCGTGGTTCTCTGATGAAAGGATGCTTCGACCATCCTGGCGAGGCGAGCCATCAAAGTAGATCCAAAGGTGCCCTGCTGAACTGAACCACATCTTGTACAACATGAAGTAATGGCACATACATACAATACAAAAACAACCAGTTTGCGAGAAAGGGTCCTGTGCAAAAGGGTCTAGGGGATCTTTGTTTACATTCCGTGTGAGTGAGTCACACGGGCTTGCCGTTTAAGCATGAGGTACACGCATGTGAAGTGGGCCTGCCTCGCCGGCAATAGTGTGGAGGGATCACGTCTAGATGACGAGCTGGGCTGGAAAGCATTTTCTGACAGTCAGGTATGTGGCAAAAGGATGCAAAAGGTTGTATTCCTTTTTCGCATACATCTTCCTCCCCAAGTCAAGTAGACAGAAACCATGTCGAACACTTGTCAGAAAGGTCATTAACTTTTCTACTTGGCATTGAGTCACTGTAGCAAGATGACTTGGGTCCCTTTTCTATCTACTTGTAGCAGCCCTTCCATTTAGTACATCCTATAAAGAACAACCTACCCAGGAATCGGGCTGGAATCTACAGTACTTGCGGACCGCGGACCATCTGGGTCTCGGTGAACTGCGATTGCTGGGAGGGTTCCATGGCCTTGCTGAAGCTCAATTGAAGGACGTCCTGTCTGAGGGTTGCTAACATTGGATGAACTATTATGACCATGCCAAGGGTTGGCTTTGAAAAGTCTTGTTTACTATTGCGCAACTGAGTGCCGATGCTTTGTTGCCATGCTATATACGTCCGAAGGACCTGGATGCTAAGGCCCAGTCCAAAGTTGTTGATGTTGACCTAGTTTTGCTCAAGGTGATTTTGTATTTTCCCTGTGGGTGAATCCCCTTCAAATCCAAGTTGACGACCAAATTCAGCCCAGGTAGTCTCCAGAGTTTTTTTGCAAGCATTGTAGATCCAAATGGGCGTTTGCCTTTGACACAGATGACATAGACATCATAGACCAACACTGCCCCACACGTTGCATGCCATGGGATGTCATATAGGGATCTACAATGCGCGATTTGCATGGAAAGACTGGGAGATCGGCTCTCCGAGTCATGCGTAGAAGACGATCGAACGTGGCGAAGAAGGGACGATCGAACGTGGCAAATCTGGACGATGGACTCTCAGAGGTTCCGGCTAGATGTTTTCGTCCCGGAACAACTAACATCTAACTCCTGTAGAACATCTAACTCCTCAAGACCAAAAGGTGACATCAAGCGTACCATGGGGTGGAACCGACCTTAGTCAAAGGCGCCTTGCCACTGACGAGCCAACGCCATCGTCGAGTTTTTTTGAACTGTCGCTGTCCAATGCATGGCTGTGTGGATGGCCAAAAACTCCCTTTGTCCATCCCTCGGGAGCAAAGAAGGATGCCAGTGATGTACAAGTTACATGAGCCTTGGCAACTGTGCAACATATATTGGGAAGCTTAGGACTTATAGGATTTAAGATTCTATTTTGTTCCAAGTTGGGCATGTGAGTGAGAGCAAGACCATCCCGCACTTGGCTTGCATTTGGCTGCGGAACTCAGTGCAGGCTGGGCTCCGGGCTCCTGGTTCCAGGAGAACCGGCGTCAATTCGTAATCGATGATCGACTGACAAAGGTCCCGGTGCAGAAAAAGGAGACACGCAGCGAACCGTCGGAGTCCTAGTTTCCAGTTGCGGATGACCGGAGGGATGTGTTCGGAGTTGTAATAATAAAGCAAACAACATATATAATATATACTATATACTATAGTATATTTATTTATGAGTGTGTTGTCTTCAAATTGATGCTCAACTCGTGGAGGAGTTTCCCCACCATTTAGCTAAATTAGGCTCCTGCCCGCCAGGCCAGTGTGGAATGTTCTTGGAACCCTTGGTACAGGCGATGGCATCTCAGGGCGCTCTTCCGAAATCCACATCCAGATTAGTTTGGATGATGAGTTGCTGAGGACGGATTGGTATATATACTGTATATATCTATATATATTTATAGTTATTTATGTTATATATGTAGTATAGTAGTATACAACATAATATCACATACATATAGACATTATTAAATAGACATTATGCATGGCTGATGGGCCTGGCAGTGATGCAACCCTGAAAACTGACAAGCCTGAAGATGGATCAAAAGCTCCAACTCGGATGACACCGTCCCGGCACAAAACGGCACAAAAACGGCACAACCGGCGCTCACGGCTGTACCGCATGTACCGTGGTTTCAGCATGGCACTCCCGTGCAGAAACGGCACTGGTTTCAGAGGTTCAGCAGGCACCGGACCCCCGACGATGTGCTGCAAAGATGGGTGTCCTCTGCATGTATCGATAGATCGCAGCTTGAGTAAACCTATATTTTTTGGGAACATGAGCGCTTGAGTTGGTGGGTTCACTCACACTCGAAAGCGCTCCTACCTTAGCCTCATGAGGAAGAATCTAGACTCCATCGGATCCTCCTGGTGCTTTGGATCAAGTCTTTGTCCGCAGAGGATCAACAGGGCCAAGTCAATAGAGTTTTGGCGGGTGCGCGCGGGGCCGGTCAGGCCTGCGAGAGCGAGTTGTTATGCCGGACTGACAGTGGGGAGTTGCGGAGTTCGTCCGTTCTTTGCCACTGATTTGCCAATACCTTTCTATCCACCGCACTTGTCAGCACTGTCATGTTTCTGGTAAAGGTCGCTCGGTGTTGCTTGCTTTGGTCGACCTATCGTGAAGGAACGAAAGGTCGCCGTTTGAAGCTCCATTGATGCAATTCATCCATTCATTTTACCGGGATCCCTTTTGCAATCAGCTTCATTAAACCAAAACACAAAAATGCAAGCCTCTAGCCATCTCTAGCCAGTATGTTCAATCATAGCTCATGAGTTGGACCGGTTGGACCCTCCAACACAGGTTTGTTGACAGCAACTGGGCTTTCCGAACCGTGACTTGTATACCAAGAAGCACCAAAAAGTGGAATCCTGCAGGATTGCGCGGGGCTTGGTACTTTTGACAGCAGCCATCATGACAGGGTGTGGCAAATAGGAGGACTTTGCAATTGCAGTCATGGCATTTTCTCGAGGGTATTTGATCGATGGCGGGTTGAGTTCCGTGCTTGTAAGCACTTCACAGATCAAACAGATCTGCTCAAGAAGCTGCTTTTCCAGGACCCAGTGGTGGCATCAATGCGGTGCATCCACTTGGGTCCTTTGAGCTCCATGATCGACTGGGTTTCGAGTGTTACCGGCATTTACCGGCCTCTTCCAGGCATGACGGGTGTGTCGATCAGAACCGCAGCGCAGGCGTGGGAGGTCGTTAAATCGATTTTGAAGGTATGTTGGGAGCGAGACATGCATAAATAGGCCTCGGAATAGAAGGCTAAATATGGCTAAACTGTTTATCTGAATCCAGGGCAGGCCTCGGAATTGATTCGGAATAGGCTAAACTGTTTATCTGAATCCAGCTCGGAATGGGCCGGGCTGGGCATGAGAGCAACTAGCTTGCCATGAGCCGTCTTAGCTTTCACAATCGGGGTCTACTTGCCACAAGTCCAGCCGCGCATTCTGACTATAGGCTTTTGCCCTTGTGGCTTTGGCAGCAGCCGGCCGAGGCGGGAGTGGAGAGGTTGAGGGCCTCTTTGCACTGTCGAACGTGTTGTAACAGTCACTTGAAGAGAATGAGAGTATCGGGATGAACCAGTCCTTTGGCTGAGGGTTGGCTGCCTCTGAAGAACTCTTCTGTTCCAAGCACTGAGTTTAGGGATGTTGCCGACTCCCTTTTTGCTTTTCTTCCAAAAAACCAGACATGCCATATTTGCATTGGAGTTTTGGGGGGTCAATGTCGGTACACATGACCCTTTGTGTCGTGTTTGGGACGATGCCTTCCGATGCCTTCAACGCTTCTTTGGTTTGATGGTCACAGTGGCCTGGGCTTTTCATAGGGAGATGGTCGGAGCGAACATCGAAACTGAATTAAAGCATGCAGGAATACCTCACGTTGTGTTCAATTAGACCAGGTGACCAGGTCTTTTTTTACTCACTGTTTCAGGGTGGCGGCTAACATTAATTTTCATGACCCACCTGTTCGCGTAGAAGAGATTTCCTTCCTTGAGCCTTGGGTTTTGCCTGATCTATGTTGATCTGGGTGAATGGATTCCGGCCACTGGTCACCAAGGCCTTTCACTTCGAGTCTTTGGCTATAGATCACCAAACAACCACGTCCTCGGTCCTCGGGCTTTCCACGGGTTCCGGAGGCTTTTTGCAGTTGGCGCCCCGAAACTCGTTGGTGCCGCGAGTTCCGGTGGGAGCACTAAGGGACAGTGAAGATGTGGGCCATGACAGTTTTTTTTTTGAATACAAAATATGATGTTGTCTGTCAGGAGTATTAGTATATCAAGCTTCGAGATGAACAGAGTATAGTATCATAGTCATGTCGTGTCAATGCCCTGACAGCCTGAGTGCATTTTGGTCGATCTATGAATATGCTATTTTTTTTCTGTTAGTGAGGCTATGTGAGGCCTTGGATGCTGGAACATCGTTTACAGCCTTTTGGAAGCCACTATCTACTCACTATTTGGGTTTGCATGGGCTTGCGCACAACAATCAATGACGTCCAACCACTTACCATGTGGAGCAACTGCTTGTTGTTGGGCTCACCGCCGAGATATGTCCGTATGTTCAACGTTCAGAGGGGTTTCGTCGTTCGTTCAGTCCCCAGCAAGCTCGTCACTTGCCACAAAGACCATCCAAGCCCGACACGACAAATGGGACTGGATGGTCTAGGCCGCCCCATTGACTCCCCAAACCACCCGAATTGTAAGTCAATATGGCATAGATGGAGCGTTTGGGGGCGTCACATTCCCATCCCCCTAAAAGACCCGACACACCGAGGTTCGAGAACTTCCACAGGCGATGAGATCTGTTTGTGCTTGGCTAGAGATGGGTGGCCAATATGTGTGATAGAGATTTTGGCAAAACCGGGTAGTTATTTTTTTGAGAGATCATGTTTGGTGTTCAGGTCCAAATGTCTTTGTACCATGCATTATGACTTGGTGGTTCCGTGTGTGAAGGAATCAGCTTCAACTCTCGTTGAGTGATCCAAAGCTACAGGGCCTTTGATTTGTATGGACTGGATACAGAGCCTAGTTATAAATGGATCTCTACTGTTCCCAGACACGATCTGTCTAGGAGTGGCATAGCCAGACCGATTAGTTGGTGTTGTTGACGCGTGGCTGGCGTTTGGGTTTGGAGACCATAGCCAGACCGATCAGTTGGTGTCGAGTCCCATGGGTCGTGTCTCGGTTTGGTGCTAAGATGGTTTCGGAACTCTCGAGAAGATTCTGTTCATTTTGTTTTTTTTTTTTTTACATGGATCCATTCTGCGTTTCAAAGAACAAGACCAGGTCTTTAAGGTTTCAGGCTGTCTTATTGTTTGTTGATGTGTGTTGTTAATGTTTGTGTCATTTTGTCTTTTTGGAATCCATTTGGTGCATAATTTTGCCGTGGATTGACTTCCTGATCTTTTAAAACGGCCTCTTGAAGGGCTGGGGAATCGCCACGTTGATGGAATTAGCTAGCTAGAGACCTCCATTGTTAAAAGGCTTTGCTCCTTGCCAATCATGCTGTGATGTTGATCCAGGCAAAAATAGTTTTTTGTTGTTGTAGAGCACATGCCGAACATGGAGAACATGTAACATGGGCTACTTTTACTTGAGACTTGCTGTCATCCAAAACTTATCTAGGCAAATATACTATATTTCGAAGTGAAATTGATGTTTGCTACGGGCATGGCAGGCACTCATCGTTGTCAATCTACTGGCATTCACCAATGTTGGACTTGAGCGCCGGCTTTCCTCACGGCTGTCTAGTGAATGCCAGTATTTAGTTGGTTTCTTCAAGTGAAGCAAGTTTCCTGACTATGTTGATTTATGTTGATTGTCAATTAGCATCATAGCATGGAACCTTCATGAACCATCGCATCGCCGTATCTACTTTGGTTGCATCTTTCTTTTTCCAGCGGTTGTTCGTTTTTTTTTAGATCATCCTAGCCTCCCACTAGTCAGTGCCTTCGTACCACAGTCCCACACCGATCGATGAGTGATCCTAGGATCAGATCTTGTATATAACCCCCACCCAACATAGAACATGTTTGTTAAGCTATGCTGAGCTATGCTAAGCTGCTACGCTCCAATGATCCAATCGCTTTTGGCTATGTGAAGTTTGCCACCGGTCACCGCCACCGCCAAAGCGCAGGTGGTTCCTGCTGAGCTCCCGTCCTCAACGGAGCCCTCCAGAGCAGCAACATCCGGCTCAAGGGTGCAAAGGCTGTTGATTGCTTGATGTTGAAGCGCCAATCGGACATCTTTTATACATGGTGGAACACCATCCAAGGGCAATAATTATCCACCATTATCAGTTCAATTAGTGTAGCACTCCGTGAAATCAATGTAACATAACACACATATTTACTCAGGTAGGTGGCACAATGTTCAAACATGTGTTTGGGATTGTATGTAGTTTTCCGAATGGTTTACTCAATCTGAACAGGGAGCAAAAAAAAAGGAATCAACATTTGCACAAGATGGGTGATTCTTTCAAATCACTCACATTCCTTACATCCCTTGGCTGAGTTGCAGGTGGCTGGCTGGGGCAGCGCGCGTTGGTGCTCGGGATCCCAGTATATAGATCAAATGAAAGACATCACATCGTGGTTCAAGAATCATAGAAACTGAACACTACACCCTACACCTCCAGTCGTACCTCCTCAGAAGGTATGACTAGACCCTCCTGGCAGTCGGGCCCCCAGTCCCACCAAACCTCAGGTTCGGTACGACGGTACGGCCAAACGGGAGATGTAATGACCAACTCGTAGGTGTCATTGTGGACCATCTGGGTGGCTGGCGGGAAGACGTCCACCCTACTGCGGCTGCCAACCCTCCAAGCGATGCCAACCCTTTGCCGCCACTTCTCCTCAAAAGTGGCCCACCCGACTTCGAACTTCAAACGATGGGGCTGGCATACTATATGGACCGAATGGGGTGACGTGCAGAGCTACATCTCCATGCATCTCCATGCCGTGAGCTATGGGGTGGTTGTCGTGGGGTCAATGGGGCAGCATAGATTCCGAGTGCATAGAGGGTTACAGTTAAAGCTTCAGACATCAAGAAGCCCTGAACATGCTTTCAGCTTCGCCAGTTTTGAGAGTGGTGCACCCCGCAGCCCGGCCGAGGCGGTAGTTTCCACCGCGGTCATTTCGGCTTTGCCAAGAAGGAGATGCAATCAATTGCAGCGGGGCAAACTGGAGAATTTCGATGGATTTGGGTTGGCTGATCCTGCCACATGAAGAACCTCCAGGAGAATTACCTCAGCCCTTCAACAAAGCTGAGGACATGGGATTTCCGGTCTACAACTCAACTCATGCTTCATGTAGTCATGGAGGCAGTTCTTTGGCTTTCAGTGCAGTGGTTTCTATAGCTTTCATTTCAGGAAGCTTTTCCCAAGGACTAGGGGCATGCAGGAAATACACCGAGGCTAACGGATGCGTCACGAGCTTGACCTGCCGTCCATATCCAGCGTCCCGCACTTGTGTTTTTTGTTCTGTTTGGGCAGCTCGGCCCAGGAAACTTGGATGTGTATCGGTGGCAAAGCACTGTTCACTATCTAGCACTAGCTCATGGGCTCATGGGTTTGGACTGAATAGCATCGTCCAACAAGACTTTGGGCCCACGTTTTTTTTCCGCTCGCACCCGCCTGGCGGGCGAGGCGACCGGTCTCGGATCACTGTGGACCGTGTCACTTCCCCCCGCCGGATGTCGATCCAGGAGCCGTCAAGACAGGCGTGGGCGTCAAGACCACCCGACGCGACCTGCGTTTTCGCGTTTTCGCGGAAAACAGCCGCGTTTGGAAAGCTGAAAGGAACACTCATCCTCATTAACAGAGATTAAACCCGGGGGGTCGCCGATTGATATCAAATGGTTGTAGTTTGGGTATCCACCCAACCTACAAGAGGGCCATTCCTCATTCACCTTATGCTTTCACAGACACATGCACCACCTTGCTTTGCATCACCGCACTTGTGCAGCTAAGTAATGTTTTGTTTCCGCGTACCCTGGCAACGACCAGAAGAGGAGCCCTTGGTGGATGGGTGGGTCAGAGGATTGGTGGCAACGCATCCACCCAAACTCCCAAAGACCACTAAGTGGCGAACTGTGTGGCGTGTTGGGTCAATTGGATCCATCGTTGACGAGCGATTACATGATCGTCAAAGCAAAACAAAAAACATGAGTAGAACATGCTCCAAAGCTGGAATCATGTGTTGCAATCGTGTTTGGATTCTTCGACAAGCAATGAAACTTCGGATTAGCATAGAGAAGATCACCTATTCAACAGGCAGCATGTGTCATGACTGTTGGACTGGACTGGCGATGCGTATACACTCCCGAGTCAACTCACATGTACCCGGGTCGAATGGCACCCTTTAAGACCATTTTCCTCTACAAACCAGTGCTTTGTAGGGTCCATGCTAGTTTTCAGCGGGGTACTATGTTCAGCTAGAAAGGATCAATGCGTCCTGTGCTCACCTGTAGTCTGAGTCTTTGCACCAGATCTCTCCAAAAGAGTACTAAAATCTCTATAGCCACGTCACATCAAGGGAACCAAACTGAAACTTCCGCGGGTCTTTATGACTCAGGTATACCGAAAACACCACACCAAACAAAACGAACACATACTACACCATTCCCACCCGTTCCCCGTCCTCGGTCGCACGTGTCCCGTCAGGCACGCCCGTCCCTTGCGGGGCATGGCGGGTGGCCTGGCGGCGACCATGGCGGCGAATTGGAAGGACCGAGCGGATCGAGCGCGCGTTTGGGAGCGAAACGCGAACTGCACGAACGGCCACCTGTTGCGCGTTCTGGGGATCAGAAGGGGAGATGGACAAGGGATGCAAATCCCTGGTGTGTGTTTCTAGAAACAGAGGGGTGGATGGATCAATACATCGATGGTTTTGTTGCGACGCGCTATGAAATCGTGGCGTGTCTTTTTTGTTTTTTTTTGTTTCATGAGTCCTGTTTTCTTTCTGAGCTGGGGTCAGTTCCAGAGAAAGAGCTGGGATGAGAGAAATCAACCATTGACCTGTTTGCCGGGGAGGTTCACCATCACACTCCATGAGACTGGAATATTTACCATTGATACCTGAAACCGCACCAATGTAGGTAAATCTTCCAATCTCATGGAGCGTTTTGGTTTGGGATGTGAATGGCCACTCGCTTTTTAATATGGACCACCTGCCATTTACACATGACGACCTCGACGAATGTCTGTGTGTCTATCTCTTTGGACGAATGTCTGTGTGTGTTGTTAAGTTACAACTGTGTGTCTTTGCTTGTGTGGTTTTGCCTCTACGATCGCAGCTAAAGGTACCAGTAGTATATAACCCCATTATGACACTAATGCAGGCACCTATCCCATTGCCCATACAGGTATGGTCTAGGATACCTCGACTTAGTTTCATATTCATGGTCAATTGTGTTCACAATGATTGCTGGTAGCTCACCTGAGGGCCACTTGTGACATAGCCATCCTTTGTTTATTGCAGTATACTAAGTGGACTAAATGGACCGGAAGACCAAGACCTGCCTGGTTTGGTTCGCCGGCAGGCCTTCTCGAGAACAGATGCTTGTGTGCGCCCTGCTTGCTGGGGGGGGCCGGGCGGGCCGCTGGCACAGAGCTATTAAGTTATAGGAGCCTCTTGGGGATGGTCATGGGAGACAACCCCCCCTTCCAAGCCCGTATTACATGCTAAAGAAATCAGGGGGCCGACCCACATCATATATATATCCTCATATGACAGTTGTTGCCAAGGTGAGATCTATGAAGCCTTTCTCCGATTGGGGGGGGCCCGTCCCGCTGGTCACAAGCGAGGCAGGTGAGTGCATATCCCAAACACTTCATGTATGACCTGTTTGTGGTTCGATGGTTGTAGTGATGTATGCAGACTGTCAAAATAGCGAACGAGATCCAGTACTCCAAATGTGCTCTCGTCAGTAGTTAACCAGTGGAGAATCGGCAAAGGTCCAGAACCAAGAGAAGCGCGCCTTCCCACTCACTTCCGGATCGCAACAGGAAGGGTAGATGAAGATCCAGTGGAGTTTGTTTCACAAAAAAGAAGAAGTGAGATTAGTAGATGGTAATGGGAAGATTCCGCGTTCCTTTCAAATCCCCTCATTGTTGCGCAGTTGATGCTGCGATTGAGCACGCTGAACTTCTGCAAGATCTACATGGTAGCTTGGCAGATTGTGATCACTTTCGATATGGAGAGAAAACGGTGAAGCTGGCAGGCGGTCATGTGATCTCCTTGAGGTTGTTAGTTGGTGTAGCCAATCTCAGAAAACAATAACAAGGTAGCTTTATTGAAAGAGGTGTAGGCTATGGCTATGGCATTTCACGCACTGATTAGTTGTTATTGGCACTAGATGCACTAGACTATATAGCATGTATAGGTTTTATAACGATGGGCTACCAACAGGTTTTCCCCCAGCAAACAAGCTATGGCAATCAGACCGAAGAAGCAGTCTGATGATGCGTTTATGTGCCATACTTGGGACTTGGGATGGAAGAGACGCTGCATGAAGAGTTGAAGGTACTTTCCCATTGTCATGTCAAACAGATCATTCAATTGCACCACTCCAAAGGGCTCCACACTCCAAAGGGCTCGTCTTCGATGCGATGAGCGCCAAGCGCTCCCCAACCAATTACAGGAACGAACCCATCCATCGGTGTATAAACCCTAAACTAACCTGATACATTGAACTGCAGTTACCGAGACCTGCGGGTCCAGTCGAAAAAAAGGCCACGTTCGATGTTCGGTCTCGCTTCGTTCGGTTGCGGATTTCATCCGCTTGTACGAGGCCATGCTGGTTCTGCGAATCACCATTATGTGGTCAGGGGCCCGGCCCAGTGGGAAAAGCAGAGTTGTTGAGGCTGAGACGTGTGGCGTACACATGGAATTGACCCAAAGACGCTGGTGGAAGAGGACAAGGTCTTTTTCTTTTGGCACACACTCCATCCATTGGACTGGAATCTGGAATATAATTAAAGTTACCTACATTGGGGACATGTTCATGGAGTAATGTAAATGATTGTAAATGTATGTAAGCATGGCACATGTTGTTCGATGTGTCCATGCTGGAGGGAAGAGAATTGAAGTGGCTGTCATGTTTCTTGCCATATTTCAATTGCCGTCATACCATAAGAATCCTTGGACACTCCACAGCAAAAGTCTTACCCATCATTGCAGGGATTCGGACCCTCAAAACCTATTCGATTTGAGGTCCCGGATTCTTACGTTTTTATTACATATGCAGAATACACAGATGGTCAAAAAGACATGTCACGCACATAGACCGACCACGTGAGCAAATAGACGGCACACCACCATCTGGTGACCTGGCCCTTGGCACGGACCGAGAGAACAAACACCCTGCGCTACGGCCTTAGTGACAATGACCATGTTGCACCAACCGGTTTCAGTGAGCACCTTCCCATCTATCATGCAGTATCACTCTTTTGTACAGGGAAACTGCTTTCCAATCCTTCCATGTTCAGGTCAGGGCACTGCATGTCCCTTTGGTACACTTACCCCATGGGCACTGCATGTGAGGGTCCGTGGGAGTGGAAGTCCGAGGTTTCCGAACATCAACCCTTATCGACAGCCCTTCTACTCCATGATTCAGCTCACGGATCCTTACTTGAACCTCTTCAGGCGGGGAGGGAGTCGACCGCGCTTCGGACGGGAGTCGATCGATTCCGAGCCTGGAGCCTTGGGGTGATGCTGGAGTCGGGACCAAGGTGCGACATGACATGGGGAAGAATGCGAAGACAGTGCGTCGATTTGTTGTTAACAGGATGGTGAAGCTGTATTTTGAGGTGCTAGTGGCGCAAATCTGAAGCCTTGAACACGTGATAGTCCTTGAAACCAAGACCAAACCGTGCAGCGCAGGGGTTGGATGCCTCCCATCTTTGGCATTGACCTCAGTGTCATCTTGGCCTTTGTCGTTATCCAGGCGCAAGAAGTTGCGGGGTCTGGTGCCGAAGGACTTTTGCAGTGGGTTTGTCAGATGGAGGCCCGGTGATTGGGGTACAAATCTGGTGTTTTTTTTCAGGAGAAATTCCAGTTCGCTTCGACCGAACTGGGCCATGCGCATTCCCTCCGTGACCCAGCCTGACCACGTCCTCACGTGCAACTCTTTGCATTGTTTTTGGTTGGTCTTCGGCCTGTTTTTCCTCCAGAGCGTGTTTGTATGTGGATCAGCTGTGTGTATGAGAGCAGACGCTGGAAACGAAAGGGTGCGGCGCCACAACCCACTTTCTTGCACGAACATAAATCAACATCATGTCACTGAGTTGCCAAGACATCACATTCCAGCATGTGATTCTCACCACTCTTTTGACGGAATACTTCTCCAATATCTGAGATTGAAGACCCAGACCATCCACGGGATTGGCATTGGTGTGATTGGCCTGGGATCCAGAAAGAGCTGTCACACATGAAAGAGCTGTCATGGGCCCGAACAGATTGGATGAATCACCACGGCGGGATTGGATCCGTTTTGACACGATTTTACATCTCCAGTCTTGAGGAGTTGGATGAATGAACAGATATTCTGGGCTAACGCTCCACAGCACCACAGATGGCTGCCGCGCAACGCTTCCCAGGCAGTGATTGATGGTTTGACCATCAGCCCCTTTGGCTGAGCTGGCGGATTTGATGTTTCATGAAGCACAACAATCATCAAACAACACAACCCTACACGTCCAAGGACCCAGTAAAAGCTTGTTTTATCTTTAAAAAACCTCCCTAAACAGTATTTTTGTATGACCAGGTCCAGTAAAATGAGTATATAGATGGATCCCGGAGTGATTGATTTTATTTACAGCGCACGGCTGCATTGAAGCTGAAAAACGTAGGAATTGTGCCTTTTTAACCATTAGTTTATTTTCACATGAGGCACGGCTGCTTGCAGCAGGTGTTGTTTAATACTCCTTTCATCGCAAGAGAGCTGGTTTTAGTCCGAGTCATCTCAAGAATCAACATTTGTTCAGCACTTCTGTTTCTCCTTTCGGCCTTCGTGCAATCGATCCTTGGATCGTCGGGCCTAGAAATACCACGGAGCCTGGTCGCGTGATCAGCAGTGGTGAGTGGCTCGGGTGGAAGTGAAAGGCTAAAAAGATGCGTTGACCGTGCATGGTGAAGAACGAGGTCATGTAGACTCTTGATTTGTGGAAGGCTGCCATTTGGATTGTAAAAACTGTATGGGGGTGTTATTATTTGAGAGTTTACATTATGTGGTAGATTTTTGGAAGAAAACGACGTGTTTCAGGGTTCGAACAGTGACGCTGTAGATTGAAGATCTTTGCGTCAGGTTGGCAAAGGTTTGCCGAGCTTCAGGGGAAGCCACCATAGCCGGCTGCCTAAATCTTTCTGATCAGGCTGAAATAGCTAGAAATTAGAGATTAAAACTACTTAGTCAATTAGCCTATGTAATTGCCACCATGTTTCAATTGGCCTATGTAATTGAAATTGGTCTTTCGAAAGGCCAAACACACCAGACAGTCATTTCAGTTATTTCAGCTTCTCAGTCAATCAACCCTTCCTCGAGAAGAGGTTTAGTCGTTCATGAGGTACCAAATGGCTATCAAGAACTACTTTGCTTGCTGCTGCTGGTGGTGCTGCTGATTTTCTGCTCCTGCTTTGCTGGTTTGCTGCTGGGCTGCTGCTGGTGTGCTGCTGGTTTGTTGGCCGTAGTGTGTTCATACACCGCCTTTTGGTATTTGTACTTTGTCAACTACTTGTACTCCTTGCCTCTTACCATATAGCTGGCACCTGCATACGGGTTTCTACTGGCTTTCGTTCTTTCTTGATCAGGTACATTTGCCCCCCGTTTCAACCACCCCAGCTGATCTGTAAGTGTATATACAATAACTATATACTGTATATGCATTACATATTCCTACATTATATATATATATTCCATACATGATCATACATTTACATGGAGTGCTTCATTCTGTTGAAACTCCAATTTGCAGGTCCAATAGCCATACATTTACATGGACGTCGTTGAACACGTGTTGTACTCCATAGCCACCTCCGCAAAACAGTACCAATCATGTGTCACTTTCAGCCGGCCCTGTCCCGTCCTGCCCTGTGCCCACCTGGTCGGTCACCGGGCTCACCTGGTGCGTCTCGCGCATCCTTTGGGTGAGTTCAGCTGCTGATCTCACCATGCTGGTCGAAGGCCGAACGAGCGAGCCGAGCGAGCGGCGAGATGAGTTGGGTTTCCAAGGTGCAAGGAGGACTTGATTATTGGATGATGTATGTATTGTGTTAGCATTTGCAAGCCAGGACTATGCTATGTTTTGAAGCAAAGGGGTATATTTGTAGGATCCTATGGAGCAGACTATAGCAGACTGAGCTTTTTCAAGGTTTGTGTGGGTTCATCGTGGATTGTTCGCTGCTATTCTACATATAGCAGAAGTCAGGATAGTCATGTATTTTGGTCCAAAAGTCTCTCCTAGACTGGTGGCTTCGGCAGAGGTTAGGGGTGCCCAGAACATCCACTCACTGGATGGGACTAAACACCACTCCTTTGCGATTGCTGGTATGTCTTTTTCTTGGTGCCTTGAGTGCTATGTCGTCCCCGAAAAAAGATCCTTCCGTCGTCGTCTTCAGATCACAAGGTCAGACGTTCTGAAAACACGGCGCCGTTCGGAAGGCACCAGGCCTGTGTGCGCTGATGTCTGCGCCGTTAGCGACTCCTCGGAAGAAACACATAGGCCTCTATGCACCGAGGCCTAGGTCTATCAAGGCTCAGGTCTCCCACCTTTTGGATCCGATCCCAATACACATCCTTGAAGCAAAACGATTGTTTGGGGTCTTCCTTTCTGGGCACACAAGCCATCACACAAGCCCCATTTAAAAACATGCCGTCGACTCTTCAAAACACTGCTAATCCACTTGTTTGTGAGCTGAAAAAACGCCCGCTACTACTTGGGAACGTCGACGACTTGGGAACAAAGAAAGACTAATTGGGAACAAAACAAACGCCTTCGACCTACGCACTTCTAACTTGGGAACATCGCGAGACCCTCGCGACGGTCGACCGCCGGTGCGACCGCCCCGGGCCGCAGATGACGTCCCACCGGTCCGCGCGGTCCATGGCGCACACGACACCGTCTCGGAGACGACGTCGGAGGCGACGTCTCAGAGCAATTGTTGAGCATGGGCCGTTTTGGAGGCGTTGCATGGCATTGTCAGAAATTGGATTTGTTGAGAGAACCAGCATCCACATCATCCACTACCAGGTGTTTGGCTTTTTTTTTTGTCAGGAGAAGGTGTTCACAGAAGTTTGTGTGTTCATGGTACAGGGGTTGGTGTGTGTTTTTGCATGCGGCGAAGCCTGTAAACAGAAATATTCTAAGTTCACTCAAAGTCACTGTATGACTGTGAGAGTGTCTTGCAAGAGGAGGTGATCAGAGTCCTACTGTTGAAATTGCCATGTGATGCAAATCCAGATTTCTCAGAGGGTGCGGCTATGCTATAGGAATGGCATCTACGTTCTGAATGTGAGGCTGAAGAATTAACTACTTAACTATTTAAAGTTAAACTGCAGAAAAGGACACATTTACCTGGGTCTGTCCTATTACCTCTAACAGTCAGTAAACAAGAGCATCACTGTCTTTTGAACAAGGCCTGCAACCTAACCGTCATCACGCCCTGGTAGCCGTAGCCCCTGGCGGCCTACCCGGCATACCCTGCGTGCCTTTGTGATTTGCCTCCCGCAAGTGGTGGAGGACTTGGACTTCTGCGAGTATATGGATGTCCCTTGGACTTCCGCGGCCGTGCGCCGTTCGTCTTACCCCTTGGATTCTCCATGGGTCCCGTACCCCCAAAGGGTCCCTTGGGTCCCCGGATGCCGAGAAGTCATAAGTCATCATATGTCAAATATGTATATATATGTAGCTGGTCACTTGGTGGTTGTCACATACCTATACAATACTGTATTTTTTGAGTAATTTATTAAATAGAAGTGACTAGCATGACCTTCCCAGCGACCTTTTGAGATGGTAGAACAAAGTCGGTTTTGAACAGCTATAGCTTGCACATCCCCCGAGAGTCACGAATGAAACATCCTGTTACAAGAGTGCTTATTTAGCAATAAACATCAAAAACGAGCGTAGGAGCCCTGAGCCCTGTGTGCTTGGAACCGCACATATGTGGAGGTTTCAGTTCTTGATACCTTCACCGTCCAAGTTGGTGTGCTCAACTCAACCCGAGTGGCCCCATGGTTATAGGGGATGAAAGCTATTGAATTGCCAAAAAATACTCTCAACGATTTTGGGGGTCCCTTCCCTTCGCAGAGGAAAGTCAAGATGCCAACTTGTCCATGATCTTTAGTTTTGCGATGTGGTGTTGTCGTTTTCCGACCAGGGCAGCTCATCAAAGAGGGGTGTACGGATGTTACGAAGTAGCTGGTATACGATCTACTATACGTTTAGTAGTTCCCATGTCCACCCTTGTCAAGTGTATCAGAAGCTTTCTTGTAAACCCTGGCTTCGGGATCAAGGAGAGATTGATGGATTGGGTTGGTTTTCTTGCGGGGTTGCGGCCAACGACTGACCTGTAAAATAGCAGAAGTCCGTTCTGTTTTGGATCTTGAACGTGGTCATAAACCACAATTTGAACGAAGTTGATCTCATGTACTGTATAGAGTTTAGACTAATTATAGTATGCGTACAAACTAAAAATCACAAGACTTCATATATACCACGAGCCGTTGAGCCGTTTGAACCTTGCTACAGTTTCCAGCCTGCCCACATACACAATATATCAGGGAACCCAGTTGATGGCCAGTAGAAGTCTCGGGACTCCACGGAGCCCTCGACTCCGAGAATGAGTTCAGCACCCAACAACGGAGGGAGCCGAAGCTCTCCGAAGCGATCCGGTAGGTCACGGAGGCTGAACTGGAGATGCGATGCCCCATTTGTTTGGAGGCTGGAGACGTCGACGTGGAACTCTGCATGAAGGGACGCATGAACCCTGTGGGCAGAAAGGGACGCATGTGGAAACTGCTCCTGCCGGAAGTCCGAATAGATGTTTCAAGCACACCTGTGCTGGGTGGTTGGAGATGGTTCAAGGGTGCCAGTTTGGAGGATGTCTTGAATCAGAGAGCCAAAGGCAGCCAACCAAAATCATTCATGAACGAAATGCTCTCGACTTTGCGACAGTAAACCTGTCCTGCGTCATGGATTTGGGCCAAAGGAGGGTTTTTCCAGGCATTTGCGGGAGCCGATTGTTTTTCAGCGCAGTCTTTAAAGAAACTCATGGACCACGTCAACACATTCAGTCGCCACCCAAATCTTCCCCAAGCAATACCCAGACACTCCATGGGACTGCCATATATGCCGATCAATTGACCCCCCCAAAAACCCCAATGTAGGCATATATGGCAGTCCCATGGAGTGTTTGGGATACGGACATGTAGAACACACGCCATTTAGAGGAAGGTTCCTGGCATTGGTAACTTTGCTTCTTTCATCGCTCCCAGGAAGTGGATGGCACCCTGTTTGTAGAGGAGAATGGTCATCCCCGTGGCTATGTTCAATGTGAGTACAATCGAATCCGACCGAGCCAACTGCATGCCACCCTCAGTGGACCCAAACGCGCGGACCGTTCGGTCACTTCGCCCGGCAACACGGTCCGGCCCGTCCTTCGGACGTTCGGCGATCGAGGTGCGGACTGGCACCGCCGGGGACTTCGATTTCAAGCAGCGATGGATCGTCCTGCAGTGCTGCGAGGCGCGGTGAAGCTGGCGAACGCGGATCGTGTGGCGAAGGTGGCGAACGTGGCGACGAAGGGAGACTGTGCAGGTGCAGGAGAAGTCATGAGGTACCAGGGTTTTAAAGGGTGATGTGTTGTTTCTGTGTTTTATCTTTTTTTTTCCCAGAAATGATGAGTATTACAGCTGGAGTGCAAGTGTAGGGTTCATGTTTTTGTTGTGAGATTTGTTGCAGCACCAGCTGTGTCAGTTGTGTAGTTGGATGTGAAGCGATCCAGTAGTCTGCATCCAAATCTACAGCACATGAAGTGTCGGACGGTGAAGTTCAACAGCAGCTGTATGATTCCAGTTCCATTGACTATAATTGGGTGACCCCTGAAGATGTCTTGGAAGAAGGACACATCGACTAAAAGCGATTGGTTGGGGGGGTCTCCCGGTTTTGAATACACACCCAGATGGAGGATTGTCAGACACAGAGCCCCAAGAAGTCTAGTTCAAGAAAGCGAATCACTCCCAGCAAAGCCACTGTAAGTCTAACCAAGTGGGTGTGCAAGCTCACTGGGATATATCCATGCGGCTGTAATTCTGCCAATGACATGCAACGACACGCATACGACCAAATACAACCGCTTGCTGCTCATGTTCGGCAGAGTTGGATTCGCTTTCTACACTCTGTTATTTAGAACAACAAATACCCTAGCCTTCCAAGACCATGAATGAAAAGAACGGTTGACCTACTTTCGAAGAGGTACACCCGGGAAGATTAACATGGAACCTGAAAAGGGACCTTTGGAAGGCTACTTTCCTCTACAACCCAGTGGCTTTCAGGTTCTATGTGGGTCTCTTCCAGGGTGTATCTTTTGGTGCTGTGTCCATACATTGATGCAGGGCCCTGGCTGTGATGTGAAGCCCACATTATAAGGAGACCCCACAGATGCAACACCTGCGGTGCTCGATGTCGACCTGCATGGCTTACGTCTTCTCTCTTGCTCCAGGACGCCGTGTGCCGGCAATGTCTTCGACAACATCTGCAAAGCAATGGGAACAGTTGTCCCTTGAAGCTGGGCGCAGCGTGAACGCGAAGGTGACATGTGTTTTCAAGGGTGGAGGATGAATCCTTTAAGCGTAAGAACTGATGAGAACTGCCATCATTTCAATCAACCGCGGGTACCGGAAACAGCAAAACCACTTGTGGGGGTTCGGATATGTTTGGATTTTTCGTGGCCTCTTTGTGGAGATTGTTGGCGCTGTTCACCTTTGTCATTAGCTTGTCTCTTGACAGTTGGAGCAAAGAGAAGGACATCAATTGAAGAGACTTGACAGAGACTGAACTTGTGTTTCCAGGAGCATTTTCTTACTTGGATTGGATTCTGATGATTCAAGATGTTTCAATTGCCACACCCAAGCCCAGGAATGCCTCACATCGATTGCAGGATATGGCGCCTTCGGTTGCACGCAGCACCGTTGTTTTGAAGTTTTGAATTTGTCACCAACTCCGGATTACAGTGTTACAGGGTGTTCTAGGTGTTACTGTAGCAGGACTCATTCCATGTCATTCCGTCGGTCATTCCCCGGGGGTGTCGACATAGGATCAAACGTTCCTCACAGACCGTGGCTGAATTCTTGGATTGATCACGTTGGTGTCATTTCACGAAAGGTAGCTTGAGCTACCTGAGTTCCCCTTGCTTTAGCAAAAATGTATTACAATCAGGAGTTGGGATTGTGCATTGAATTTGGTCCTGTAAGAGTTGATTCTGTTCGTCGGGGCGGGGGGGCCCCCCCCCTCCCTGGATCAAATCCCCCCTGCGCCGGTTCACGCCGTCATGGACTTCACGCCGTCATGGACTTACTTGTGATTGCCTGGCTACCTTTCGTTCACCCCCTCCTCTCTCGTTCGTACATCCATGACAACTCAAAGAGTTGGGAATGCGAATCGAACGGCCCCGTTTGATCGGCCGGAAAACGCGCCCGGGCCTCGGCGTGGCAATCACCCGGAAAAACACGCAATGAGCTCCGCCCCCACATGTCCAAACGCGATGTTTAACATAGTATTTACAGAGATACGATGTTTAACCTGCAAATGCAATGTTTGACCTACCATCCCATATATTAAAAATGTTCTGGTGAAGATGAAGGTGTCCCCACTGACTCCTCGTAGTTTTTACTGTTTCAATCACTGCTCTGAGCAAATACTCCATGACCAGTCCTATTAGGCTGATACTACCCCGAAATGGCTCCCAGAATTCTATTATATAATAGCAAAGCTGCCCTCACCAGTCCTGATGTCAAGCCAGTATATTGGGCAGTTCACCTGTTCTCCCTCGGTGATCTATCACATCCGGCCACAAAGCAGTCCAGGACTTTGCCAGGGGTGTGAAGGAAACAGGGTACCTGATTTCACCGTTCAACATGGTATTTCACGGGCAAAAATCGCATGTCACGCTCATTTCACGGTATTTCACGCTAGAAGTTTCTAAAATCCAACTCCACCTTTGACCTGTTCCTAAAGTTTTTGCGGACCAGTTAATTGAATTTGGCAACTTCGTAGCCATGGAGCTCACCAGCCCTGGCAAAGAAATCTGTTCGAACCATTTTTGGAGTCTAAAGATATGTGATCTCTCAATACGGCAAAGCTCCTTCTTTTAAAACGTATCAAGCTCTGGTTGGATATAAAGTCTTTTTTTGGCCCTGGAGCACTGCAGACTGGCACAAGGTATGCAGGCTTTGAGGGCTGCGGGCCCTTTTTTATCAAACGCGATGTGTAGCGGAGCAATCATAGTATGTTGCAAATACGAAGTTAAACTTCAACTTTGAAGTGTAGGGTCCCATTCTTTTGGCTGAGTTTAGCAGCAGAACACTTTGCTTCTAATTCAGATGGTTTGGAGGTAGTCAAGACCTTTGACCCAGGAGTGTTTACCTGTTTAATCTTCAAACTGGTTTTTCCAGATCCCCCACATCACCATGCTCTGAAAAAACAGACACCAAAAAAAGGGCCCACCCCGCTGACGGCCTTCTGATCGAGGACGTCATCGCCGGCTGCCAGAGTCCGGAGGAATGGCTGAAGCTGGAGCAACGGAGGAGGTTCCTGGAGGCCGGCGCCCGAGGCAGGAGACGGGTTCGGAACGAGCTGCGTCCTGAAACACATGGAGAAACGCCTTACGTGATATGGATGTGTACCCCGGATGGGCTCCAGTCGTACCTTCGTTTGGGGTGGGTGCCAGGAGGGTACAGATACCTTCTGAGGAGGTACGACTGGAGCCCATCCGGGGTACAATGCTATAGTACTAAGTGTGGACTGTATATGGAGTCCCATATGTCCTTTGAAGTCGTGGATGCATCCACACGCCTTTTAAGTGTGCACCGCTGGGAGGCTTTTGCTGTAGTTCCCCGAGTTGTGCAGGGCTTTTGCCCCCCACGCCGGCCGCTGCGCCGTGGGAGCGACAGCCCTTCCCGACGCCGTGCCCAGGCGGGGCGTGAGCGGTCGAAGCATCGGGGCTCTGAAGCGAAGTCGCATTGAAAACCGTTGACCTCATCCAAGCCGAACTGTCCAAAGACTCCTCAGTAGCAGTGGAAGAAAGAACTTTGTTCTGCATTTCCAATGGTTTGTAGTGGAAGAAATCTGGAAGCGGGGTTCTTGACAGGCGGAACTACACTGTCCAAAGACTCCTCAGTACCAGTAGCAACCAGGATCCTCTTTATATCTATGTTTGTTTGATGATATGATATATAACCGATTTTCTGAGCCATGCAAAGATAACTCCAATGAGCTGCAATGCTGCCAACCCAAAGGATTTACGTGGCAAAGGATCCAAATTCATCAAAATTCAATGTTCCTTTAAGCTTTCCATCTTTGCATATGAGCAGTGCAGCAATAAAACATCCCGCGTTTTTTGTCCTATCGTTTGCTTTGCCAACGCCACAGGCTGCTACAAGGCGCATTGTGGCAGGCCGGGTGTTTTCATTTACCGGGTTGTGTTCATCAGAACAGCTTGGTATTCAACCAATGCAAAAGTGAACACGTGTGACACATATGGTCGGCAAAGAACAGCGACATGGCACATGTGCTTCTTGCAGCCTGTGATGCATCCATTCCACTCTTGTAAGAAACTGTTCTGAGACCTGGTGGAACACGCCCGGGACAGCCAGCAAACCAGACGAGAGACGCAGTGTTGTGGCAGGCAAAGCGGAGGTCAGATGCTTGTTTCACGGGGAACGGCGTGTACTGTTGAGGAGCAACATCTTGTTGGGCCAACTGTGAGGGTGCGGTGGTTGCAACATGTTGTGGATCCTGATGGGGACTGGTTCATGGCAGGCTTTTGATGCCAAGTTTTTGTGTGTGGGAGATGGATGTCTACCCACCTCGTATCTTCGCTGAAGATGGTACATAAATTGCAAATCAGTCCAGCCGGTCCGCCATACAACGAAGAATGGAACCTCTTCAGAGGGCGTCCTGAGAAGCGGAATCGAGCGATGGCTAGGAAGCTTGTCCTTTGGTACTAGGTGACCAAATGGGGGTTCTCAACAGAGTGTTCCTACAAACCAGCAGTATATTTGTTTGACAGAAACTTGCAGGGTGTGCCTGCCAACTAGCAAGCTTAACTGGCACCAGTCATTCAACAGTTGACAAAACAAAAATTGTCCTTGAACAAAAAACATGTGCATGTTTGCTGCACAACAAAAAACAGAAAAAGAAAACACCGTTGCCTCCCCGCTCATCCAACAAACCCTACGGATCCCTGCGGCATGGAGGTCGGCCGTCGTCATCGGATTGCGCAGGTGTGGCACTCCCTGGCCGTCGCACGACCTGATGGAACGGCATCTTTGCGAGGACAAGAGACGCGGGTGACGGCCGAGAAGAGGTGGAGAGGGATGCTGCCCACACTCGAGCAGTTTGGGACTGAGATGGCCGGGCCATATGTGCAGTTAGGGGGGTCAATGTAGGCAATATACCTAAGGGCATAAATATATTTAACATTCAGGGAACTGGTGCACACGGTGTGCACTGCGATTTCGACGTCCCAACCCTTTACAGGACGTCGGTCGTGACCCGGTCGGTCGTCCACCGTCGTCCTGTGGGAGTCCCGACGGTCGTGGTCGCCATAGGACCCACACAGCCATATTACCCAGACATGACGAATGGGACTGGCATATAGTAAAATTTGCCGCCCCATTGACCCCAGGTCAACCACCCCTGGCCTGATCGGTAAATATGCCAGTCCTATTAGTCGTGTCTGGGTTATATAAGGTCCAAAACAGTTCTGCTATTTCTATGACCATTCATGCACAAATATTAATGTCATTCTCTCGACCTCTCCTCCCTCATATGTTCTCGTTTTCAATGTTTCAGGTTGGTTTAAGTTTTGTTTGAGTATAATGTATTGATTGATAACCCCCGCATTTGAATTGGAAATCCTTTTCATATGCGGGGCCCGGGTTGACTGATTAAGAATTCTACATCACGGATACATACGGATACCAAGAAGCCTGATCTTTTTGGGGAGACAGACCTGGCACAGCCGCATTTGCACAGCACGGAACCCGGCACCGGCTCTTGAGTTGGATATATATGACATCGGAGAACTTCAGAGACACTGACGTGATTCAGAGTGATGGTCGACCTTAACAGTCGTATGTCGCGACTGTTCTGGACACCTGTCCAAGATGTTTTTGGATCTTTTTGGGGTATCGGTATCAGGTGTTTGTGAGTTATGAGTTGTTCGTGAAGCTGAGCAGATCAATCGTAGTTGTTCGTGGTTTTGTCCCTTCATTCCCTCCGGCGTTCGAAAAAAATGAGGGAGCGAGTGTAGAGGACCATCTTGTCGCTTCTTTCGTTGGTGCCTGAGGACCTAAAGCTAGAAAGCTACGGTTAGAGAGAGAGAGAGAGATGGCTACGACCCACCCAAGAGAACAATGCTGTAGCATGCTACAGCCTTCAATATGGTTTTTGCTTATTTTTTTGCGTTGGCACAAGTGAACGCCAAGGGATTTAGGTAAATTGCAGCATATATGCTTGCTCTTTGTCGGAAGCTCGCTCGGTGCAGTCCTTCTCACCATGTTCTTGGCCATTTCTGTGGCTTTTTAGCCGGATTCGCCAGGATTTGAGGCATGTGCCCTCGCGAGAACGGGGCCGTGCAGGGAGCCACAGGGAGGTGCAAAGGAAGATCTTTTTCGGGAGGTTTTCTCGAGGTCCTCGAGGTGCAGAGTTGACCAACGGTCCAAAGTGAGGCTTTGACTGTTTGCTTCAAACAATCAGCTCGATTCTGGTGTGTCAGCTCGAAACATCCAGTCAGCTGGAGATGTTGAGACTCCCAGCAGTCACAAAGGGGTGCGATCCATGGAGGTTAGGGGTGCCCATGATCCACTCACGTCAAAACTCAACACCACCCCGACATGTGATTCCTGTTCTCTAGATCTTCTGACTATGGAAGCTGCTGACTCACGTCCTCTTAGCTAAGAGGTATCCAACTCCATTCGCCGGGACGGCCGGGACCGTGTCCGGGTCCGGTCCGGCACGCGAAGCGCGGCTCGCGGCGCACGGTTCGAAGCGGGTACAGACCGGGTAGCAGTTACGGTGTAGCACTGTTTGGATGGAGTGTTGGGCTCGTGCTATGGATTAGCAGGCTAAGACCTTCTAAGACCGTTCGCGCAGTAGAGCGCTTAAGACTGCGGTCATTGGTCATGTTGGGGGCCCAAAGGTGGTACGATCTACACCTGTCTATGCCTGTCTGGAGATCGAATGCAATGTGATCACCCCCATGCCCGCAGCATCAGGTTGCAGGCGAGAGAGTGGCACAGCCCTTGGTCGAACCTTGGGCGGGAGCGGTCGTTTGGTGAGGACTTCCAAAAACCCTAGGGCTCCAAGGACCTTCTTAGAAGGTGTTTGGGGTGGGTTTAGAGGGTCCTACCGTCTAAGGAGGTATGACTGGAGCCCTAGGGAAAAGGATCCATCTGACCATGTTTTGGGCTGGGCAATGGGCGACCGTGAACAACTGTGGCTCATGCACCGATCTTTGGTTTTGCACACTTTGGCAGATGGCTCTGAGTTGGCCCCGGGTCTTGATTGTTTTCGACACAGCAGGATCTTCCACTGATTTGGCAGAGGATAAGTATATAACTACAACATTGGCGAGATGTCTCTTCATTACAATAAGCAAATCTCACTCTTGAGTGGCATGACTTGGAATTTAAGACACCGCCACAAATGTTGAGGAGCAATGATCCCTGTAAGATCCCTTATAGGTTCTTGTTGGGCAAGACATATATGGTTAGCAAAGAATTCAGTTGTGTGACAGTGTGCTCAGGGATGCTCAAGGTACGGTCTATACACATGCAGTCAGTACAAATGAATATTGAAGATGTGCTTTGTGCAAAAGCCACCATCCTCAACAATATGCATAATTCAAGCAAACGGAGTCTCAGTTCAAGCGAACGAATAAAAGCGATGTACTTGGCGTTTGCGATTCTTTGAGAATGGACACAATAATTGTTTGAAGACCAGACGTCGCCGAACATGCCAAGGTCCGAGTTGCTCTAAACACAAGGGAAAGTAGAAACCAATGATTTGATGTCCATGGTTATAGAAGGAGTTTACCTTGTTTTTTCATCAGTTTACCCCCTCAAATGAAAGTGAGGTTTAGATCATGTCCATAAGGGTGTGCAACTTGCCTTCATCCACTCCAGCACGGTCAGAATGGCGTGATCAACCCGTTTCCATCACCCATCACCCGGCATCACCCGGCTGAGCTAAGGACGCGGTGAGCGCCACCGTGACCAACAACGGACACTTCAACTGGGTCAGGGGGGGCTCAGAAGGACAGGTGTGAAGGCCCGACAAGGCGAGATACAACCTACCTATACCCAACATGCCAATCAGGGTCTGCCTCTCCACCAGCTGGCATGTCCCGCCCGGCAGGGTCCTGCTTATCGTAAGGAAGCTTCATGCTTCCAGCCAGTGCAGGTGAATTTGTGCTTCAATCGTTGGGAATTGTGGGAATTGCACAATTCTTGTTGAAGATTCTTCCGTATTTCTTCGCCATCAGTCAGTGACTTGTGTGACCTGGAGATAGATCGCAGACGCGTTGTCTACTCTAAGACAGCTGTTCCTGAGGTGTCCACCACTGTACAGACCTTGGTGGCAGATGCGGCACGGGAACGTTTAGACGGCCTGGGTCCCAGCATGTGCTCAGCATCGGCTCATAGTCACCCTTTGGCCCTTTGGTTTGCCGGTTTGGGCTCCAAAGCATTTCAAGCTATACCGACGGACCGAAAGATAGAATGCCTACTAGGGGGTGGGGAGTCTGGGTTTTCGCTACCACTTAGAATGCCTCCTAGCACATTGAGGCGTACCTGAGACGTGTTTAAAAAAATATTGAGCCGTACCTGGGCCAATTTATGTATAATATAATATATATGTATTATTGTTGAAGTATTTTGCCTACTGCCTTGGCTCAAAAGAGGGAAATTTAGGAATTGGAGTTGGCGCCATGCAGCAATTGAACTATATATACTTGAGAAATATAAACAATACATAGTGTTTACATGATTCAATCTCTGTATAGAGCTCATTTGATGCAAAACACTGTAGCCGGACTGACAGTTAGAATGCCGCCCTAAATCTTTACTATTTGTGGCCGTGCAGGCATTCTAAGTGTAGGAAAATGATACACGCATTCTAAGCCACAATCGTAGAGCCGGTACGGCATTCTAACTTTCAGTCCGTCGGTATAAACAGTGTCAACATTGTCTGGAGTTTGCGAAGTCATCAATGCTGAGTTGTACTACATGAGCAGTTTCCAAGAACTCGTAGCTATATTGCTATTGGTTGTTGGCCGAAGCTCACAACCCTTCATGTGATCCCCCCTTGCATGCGTTGTGAATGTTTCTCGTGTGATAACCTGTATTTATCAGGCATGTGACTCCCTTGAAGACCAAAGGAACTGACCCTGTAGTTGAATATTTCAAGCAAACGAGCCCCCAAGGGTGCCCACTGGCAGACTTCATGGCAAAGGGTTGGAGTTTTCGTTGCCTTTTGCCTCCTTTTTTCTGGGATCTCCATTGGAAGAACGTCTTCATTCAACCACACCAGCCGGGATCTCAATGGTCCAACCCATGGGCAAACAGCCAACAGCCAACAGCCCGGCTTGGCAGCGTCTCGCTGAACGGCGGGATCGGACCACCTCGACCGTCTCCTGGGGGGTCGGACCACCTCGGCCTTCATCTCGGTGGCGTGGAACCGGGGTGTGGATCGGCGGCAGGGACTGCGGATGATATGGCAGTGGAATCAAAACTAGGGAAAAAAAAAACAGAATAGAGTACCAGCCAGGTCATCCTACCAGGGTTTGGAGCTCGTGTTTGACTTGGTTGTGGCCACATCCGTTTGAGGTGTGGGTTTGAATGCCTTGGAGACGGAAGTGTTGCCACTTGGAGCAAGAACCTTGTGACGCCAGTGGTGCTTCTTCAGAGGGTGTGGTATATATGTGTGTGGGTTTTGCATCAAAATAGCTGGATTACAAACCCACAATGTTGTGAGTTGTGTGGGTTTGTATCTATGTCTAGAACTCGGATTACATCATTACGCGAAAACATAACTATGTTCAGTAGGGACACTTTGCTATCACACACACCATACTTTGACTTTCCCGCGAGGTTTGTGTGTGTCCAACACCACAATTGAGCAGCGTTGTTTTATTCTAGATGAAAGAAAGATGAGGAGGCATACCTTGATCCCGCTTGGGTAATTCATGCGAAGCTGTGTACTTGGCAGGGTGCCTCAACTAATAGAACAAACTATGAATAACTCATCTTGCTTACCCTGTGCTCGTGCTCAGCATCCACGCATAAGCACCTGGAAAACGAAGGCCCTGGCGTAGGTCGAGTCCTAGGTCGAAGCAAACAGGTTGTTGTCCTTCTCGGTTGTGCAAGAACAATATATTTTGTATGCATGCCATCCAGAGCCGCGCTTTCCCGCCATGGTGGTCAGTTTTGAGGTAGACCAATTTGACCAACCCCTTGTGATTCACAACGTCAGGTTTGACCATTGATGTCAGGCACCCTCAGATTGTTCATTGTTTTTTCCTACTTTGATAGATCTTTCAACATAGAAGCATAATTGATATCATGGATACCCATGCTGAAACATTGTTAATGTTCCCCTTGATTGGCCGAGATTTGTTGGCATTAAGTTACGAATACTCGTATCAGCGGGTATATCAGGGCAACGCATTTTACTGCAAGAACCAACATGCACATAATGGCTCGCAGAGCCTGTTTGGTGGATTCAATCAGAACCATTGGCAACGGAGGGCACCGTGTCGCATGTTGCACCAAGCTGAGAGTTTTCTCCTGGACAGGTGCCTTCATGGGAGCCATCATTTCGTGGAACTGTCGAAGTTCCTCGCCCCTTCGTTTCTTCCTCCCTAAGAATCCGTACGGGCTCTCCACGGCAGGGGTCTAGACCCGACCTCAAAACGCTGTGTGTTGGTTCCGGCCCGGAGATGGGGGGTATCCAAGCTACTGGACCGAACCAAGGCACCGATCCGCCAAGGTATGGGGGCCCGGAGATGGGGCCTCCAAGGTTCTGGCGTCTCCAACAAAACCCCTCATGCCCGGCTTCGCTTCTGGCTTGAGATCGCCCGGGCCCGACTGACCGCAGGATGCACGGCTTACCGACTCCATGGCCCAATCCCACGACGTCCCCGGAGCACCTGGGTGTCGTCTAGCGGGTCGACCGGGTCGACCCGGGAGGTGGGGGAGGTGGTTGGGATTTTCTCACCCAAAGGGGGTGCTTTTGTTCTTAGAAATGGCAGCTGCAGGGGGGAGTTGAGACGAAGTGCTATTTTGATGTCAAAATAGATAGGGCGGCTGGTTGTTTTAGATGATGTAGTCTAGACATGGTCATATCAGAACTATGATTGTACTACGACTACAATGGAAACCCTTACAGGTGTATACCTTATCTTTTTTGTGTTCTGCACAAAACTCAGAGCAAGGTGTCCAGAACAACTTGGATCCGCTAATCTCGGAAGAGGTTTGGCCGCCATATTTTAACAGGCAGGGCTACTCAACAAGCAAGAGTTCATTTCCTCAATTGAGCTCAACTTCTACACTAACATGGATCATGGATATGGACCATTGAACTCAAAATGTCAATTAGTTTTCAATATATGTCAAGACTGTCAAGATATGTTCCGTCTCAAAAGACCACAAACTGAAGTTTTGTGTCAAATGTGTTGCCAATCTCCTCCAAGCTGGTCATACTCTCGATTGCTCTCGAGGCTGCGGCTTTTCCATTGGCTTCAAGAGCATCGTCAAGGCCTCGGCGACGGCCTCGGAGCCCGTCCCGCAGGCGGTGCCGCCGAGGAAGGCGGGCAAGCCGCGATGCCGACGGAGAGTGCCGCGTTGCCGCCGCGGAGTTGGTGCCTGGGAAGGAAGAGACATGGTGAGACTGTAGGATGCCGTGAGGTGAAGAACAGTGAAGAACCAGCTGCAAAGACTAAGCAAGAAGGTGGGTTCAGTGATTTTCATGTGGTGTGCACATCAATACGTCAGTGAGGCCAAGTTCACATTCTGCAGTTTGCGCCCAGTTCTGCAGTAACGGAATCCCTTCAAGTAGCCACAGACTTCATTCGAACACACAGCTAATTTTCCTGGGCAAGTTTGCCACCGTACCAGTTAATGTCTTGTGTGCTCTATCACAATATCAGGGGTTTTACAGAGTAAAAATCATCCCAGCCCGAATCAAGGATCAATTTTGACCCTTGTTTGGTGCCCTTACTTTCAATCAAAGGTAAATCGTTCAGCTAGCCACGGGTATCGTTTCAAAAGCAATCATCCTTTTGGAAGCAATCGTTTGATGTCACACGCATGCATAATGCATAATTAGATACTTTGACCCTTCTTTGCTTTCACAAAGAAAGCAACATCCATCTCTGGTCCCCCGTTACTACGAGTTGCCACATTCCCCCAGTTCACTAACCAGTTCTTTCAGCTCAGCTGACCGCAGATGATGAGTTGCAGCGTTTCTGGAACTTTCATCAGGTGGGCTGCGGGCATGGTCTGTTTCGGCTTTCCCTTTCGGCGGGCCATACCCAGTGGGTGGTGAAAACACCTGCAGATGCCGAGATGTTTCCGCTTCTTTGGTGAAGACCGAACACCAAGGCAGACCAGCACCTGGCTGAGCCTGAAATCTTCAAAGCTGACATACTGAGTTGGAACACCAAGTATTTTTGGACACCATTGAAGTTCAACCATCCCAATCTTTGCTTGAGTAAGCACCACATTGTTGAACCATGTTGAACCAAAGGATTTGTGCACTCTTGCGTGATCATGATCACAGATCATGTGAATGACTATGGACAGTGACAAGACACGTGCGTTGCACAATCTAAAATGCTTGCAACCAGCAAACGGCCAAGAGAATGATCGTGCACAACGTGTCCATCGTTTGGGTTTCAGAGGCCCAGACTCGGCGTGCACGTATCCCAGACTCGGAGTCTCGGCCGCTTCCTGTGATTCCATTGTTCTTTGCAAAGTGCCCAGCTGCACTTTGCATCCTTAGAACCACAGAAAACGCGTCACACAGTTTGTGTCAATCTTTTAGCAACCACACAGGGCCAGCGTGCAAGCGTGGCGATGGGCTCATAGAGAGAGAGAGCGAGAGACTTCTAGAATGACTTGTCACGACCGTCATCAGTGTCACGATTCGTCGTTCGAACACCTGGCTAGTCATGGCTAGTCGGAGCTCGTTTCACCCGTGGGTCGGTCAAACAGCTCCCAGGTAGTCAGCTCATCTTCCGTGGGAAAAAAAAACAATTCAGGGTGCCACATTGTGCGATGCACGAGACGTGACCAGTGAGACTGGCAGTCCTGACTCCCCATCAGGCCAAGCGGTGGTTGACTTGTGGTCAATGTAAGTCCAGATATTCCAGTCGCATGAAGTGTTTGGGCATCATGGTTTCCTCTCCCAAAGACTTGAAAGTCACACCAGGCTCTATAGCTTGGTTGAGACTTGTGGCTCGCGTAACCTTCAGTGTTTGGGCGATCAACGTGCCTATCTCAGGTGTCGTGGGGTAGAGTCCATTTGTTACTAGTAGCTTCTTGTTACTAGTAGTAATGGCCTCCACCCTAGTAG